CTATCGCTGCTCTTGCTACTTTGAACAAATCAAAGTTCAACCAACCATCAACTATACCATTCACACATGATGTGCAGCTTCTCCACCAGCATCTAGAGAAAAAAATCAGCTGATGCTTTTGAAAGCCTAAAATATCATGAGTCTTCAAAAACATATGCAGAACTCGCCAAAGTGACACTTGCACAAGTTATAATCTTTAATAGACGTCGTGCAGGAGAGGTTTCAAAAATGACGCTTGAGTGTTTCAGGACAAGACACCAGACTGAGCTCCGTGATGACATCGCTGTCAGTCTCTCCATTTGAGCAAAAAATGTCCAAGCATTTCAGCAGAGTGGAAATAATGGGCAAGAAAGGGAGAAAAGTTGTATTTTGTTAAACCCTGAAATTGTCAGTGCAATAAAACTTCTTGTGGACAAGAGAGATGCATGTGAGGGACATGCATAGACAGGGACAACCCCTTCCTATTTGGAAGACCAAAGTGCTCACCCACCAGCTTCTTCAGAGAGGACAGAACTGCATCAGGCTATTTGCTAGTCAGTGTGATGCACAGCACCCAGAATATCTCTGGTCTACACAACTCTGAACGCAGGTGGCAACAATGTCCACAATGTCCCAGGTTCTTAATCTTAAGGATAATGAACTTGATCAACTAGCTAACTTTTTGGGCCACGACATTCGGGTCAATAGAGGCTATTATCGGTTGCCAGATGCAACTATAGAAATTGCAAAAATTTCAAAGCTGCTCTTGGCAATGGAGAAAGGAACTCTTGTCAATTTCCAAAGAAAGTTTCTTGATCGAAGGCATATATTTTATATGATAATAATAATAATAATGTTACGGTACAGTAACAGGACAATTCTAAATTACAATTAAAAACTTGGAAGCTAATTAGGTTACTCAGAAAATATGTTTTTAGGTGAATGAGAATGAGTACCTCTCATTTCTTTAGATAAAGGAAGTTTAGGAATTGTATATGTGCACTAATGCAGGTGTGCGGGGATGTTTGTAAATAAACCTCTTAACTCCAGTACACCCTCAAACTGTCGACAAAACCTCATGCAGTATGTCCACCAACTCAGTCGTGAGTGAGGTGCGCACGCTTTGGAGACTATCAGTTTTAAATGTGAAGTGAGAACTTTGATAAAATAAATGAGGGATTTAAACCGTGTGAATATCCAGTCGTTAGTGATTATAATCCAGACAAAAGAAACTCATATTTAGAACAATAACCAGGCTGGAGAGGTGTGAATGTGTGCAGGGGAGACTGACCACTGAATGGGGCTTGTTTGCACCACAAAACAATAGAGTCAATAGACTGCATTTTACAGTCTCAAAATAAAATCGTATGACATGAACTTGAAAAAAAAAAAATAAACTAAATGCAGAGTTTTAGACTAGAGGTCTTCACGGGTCCAAAAATTCATGCCCGACCCGGAAGAGACCCGTTATGTGCTACACCGAACCGACCCGTCGCCCGTGACCTTTTAAACGTAATTACGTATTACGTGACGTTACAAACGCGCCTCACAGAATGGAGAAAGGCTAGCATTTGTCCTTAGAAAAGTTACATTTTTGGGATAAGTTTTGAAATAACCGATCGTTTCGCATGATAAGACCCTTATTCATCGTCTGGTGTCGTTTAAAGACATTTGAAGCTGCATCTGAAACTGTTATTAATTGTCTTTTGGATCTTGGACCATCTGGTTCCCATGTAAGTCCATTATATGGAGAAAAATCCTGGAATATTTTCATCAAAAACCTTAATTTCTTTTCGACTGAGGATAGAAAGACATGGACATCTTGGATGACATGGGGGTGAGTAAATTATCAGCAAAAGTTTTTTTCAAAAGTGAACTAATCCTTTAATACTGAGTTAAGGCCCTTTCACACTGAACGCGATTTTGACGCGCGAATAATTCGCTCGATGGTTTTATTTTTTGATCAGCTGTTTGTTTAATGAGTGCTTCCACACCGGACGCGAATCTGCTGCGGCGAAAAAACGAATTTTATTTTTTTCGCTTCAAGGTCGATTTTTTTTTTTTACTGCTGCGGCGACAGAAAAGGCTTCATCCAATCATATACAAGGAAACAAATGTGACGTGACCACAGCAATGACGGATCTTCTGATTGCTTGTGTGTCGAGTCGTCTGTGAATGAAAATCTGAAACAAGGACTGGTGGGACGTTGTGCTCGTTCGTTCGTATCGAGCCCAACCGGGTGTTTACAAGGCTTTTCAGTCTATTTGAGCTTCAATCCGTTTACTAAAAGTGTTTATTTGATTGCATGTAAACGTAGCCCCTGATGAATGGGACAGCTCACCTTCTGCCATATGTTTCTAGCTCCGGTAGCTCCGTGGGTGCCCCAAACCTTCTTTTCTGCTTTTAAATAAAATGAAAAGCTTGTCTTCACTGGATGATGATGGTGATGAAGAAGCTGTTCCACGTCATAGCACTATACCGCATTTTTTTTGTCTGCATCCTTTTAATCGTCCTTTAAATAACAATTCTACAATTAAAAAAAAAATGTAATAAGTAAACATAGAAAATGCACAGCACAGACGTTAATGGAGCCATCACAAACAAACAAACTCTTCGTGGAGAGAGTGTTTGCTCTGATGAATGCTGCGTGGAAGGAACCAGGCAACTGTGGACCTAAAGTGAACTTTTGAAAGTGAGCTCCACCTGCCAGTACTGACATGTACATAATGAAAAAGAAGGCCCTATTGAAGCTGCCAGATCATCAGACAAACAATATAAATTCAAAATGCACTGATTGAATCCGGTAAGAACGCATTCATCTTTATCTTTCCTAATGGACTTATATGTGCTTATTTGAAAATGTGCTATTTAGAGATTGGGATTTTTTTTTATTAAGCCTATTAAAGCATCATGTTAACATCACTGCAAAAAGACATCTAATATAAAATCTATATTTATTCACCTATAGGCTATAATAATAAGTATAGAGTAGCCTCCGTTTTCTGATGAAAATCAGGTCTGCTTTTCTCGGCGCGAATGTTTTGGAATGTTGAAGCTCTGAACGTCGCAAATTCGCGTCACGGCTGATGTGAATGGTTTTGACGCGAACTATTCTCACGCGAACTATTCGCTTTTTCGTTTCGCTTTTCTGTTACGCGTCCGGTGTGAAAGGGCCTTTATACACGGTTTTCAAATCCGCTCATGATAACAAGCACAACGCGTAGACGTGACCTAAATAAGAGATTTGTTGTGCAGTGTGTAGTTAGATTCATTGATTTTGACAGGTGTTTTCACGTGACTGCTATCTTTGGTTGCTTTGTGTAGCTATACACTCTAAAACACGGTGTGTAAAAAATGACATTTTGTGTACAGTTTAACACTATTATAATCATATGGTCAAAAGTGCATGCCGCAAATGCTCTTATGGCATTTCCCAAGCCACTTTTGCTAGTTTAATGGCAGGAAAAATGGTTGGTGCTCCCAGCGCATGGTATAAAAGGGTTGTCCCTATTATCTTATTGAGTAATGGGTTTGTTTTGTCTCCATTCTCTTGAGTAATGGTTGTGTTTTGGGCATAACGTGCAATAACCAATCAGAGTCTCATCTCCCATTCCCTTCAAAAGCCAGTAGCGCTTGCGCCATGGCAGAATCGGTGTTTACATGATGGAATTTGCCAGCAAGAAACTGAACACTTCTCTAAAGGCACCAAAAAAGCACCAATATTTATTATAATAAACTATTTACTCAAAATAGCAAAGCACCAACAATGCACCTGAACACTTCCATGAAACGCTTCACAATTCAGTTTTCAGACCATACAATGCAAATGCAAAAATTTAAAGTGATCACCATCAACAATGGTGATAATCAACAATCCATTCATTTGAACAGATCAACTCTGAAAATCACAAAGATCAACTAAAATCACAAAACAAAAATAACAGCAAAAATAAAAGCAAATAGTCAGAATAGTAGGAATATTCAGATGCATAATTTATTCATGCTCCACCCAGCATGCATTGCAGCATGTAACTTTTTGTTTGTCACCATTGTTGATATTCATATGCTGATTCCTGATGTCTTTGGGTGCCTTTATTATACTGTAGACTATAAGCTCCCGTTTGCAAATAAAATTTAAATCACTCTTATTTTTCACACATCCTTTTGAAAGCAATGATTAAAAATAGGCCTTTTTAAATATTTTTTTATCTTAAATCCAATATATTTTGCTCTCATTGTCTTTTCTTATGTGAAGACTCACACCTCTGTTAAAATCTTATGTAGTACTTTAGTGTTGAAGGTTTTTTAATGTGAAGTGTGCCAAAAACGAAAATATATGTTTGTTTATATTGTTGTTGTTTTTTATTGGTGAAACATGTTCTTCAGAGAATTTGATTTTTATTCTGTTGATCCTGGTTTGCTTCTTCACTTTTAATGTTGTTTTAAAACCAGGGAATTTTAGAGTAATGTCAGAGTTATCAACAGGCCTCCCTGAAATTAAATTATATACAGTATCACTTACATTTTAAATTTGTTTCACACACGAAGCTGTCGTTTTGTTTCTGAATACTTTAAATATTTCTCACCAATCAAATGGACTTCCTTTATGCGACTTTGTGGATTTTATTAATTAAAATTGCAGATACACCTTAATTTTACAGTAAATGATGCTGTGTTGGAGCATGTTCACCAGTAGATGGTCCAAATACCACACAAAGTATGGCATCTTCAGTGAGGTAAACCAGTGTGTACCAACTAATTGGTAAACAGTTTAGTAGGTTAGTCTGCGCCGATAGCCTCATGTTCAAGTCCCTGCATCTGGGTCTGCCCCCCCCCACCCAATACCCCCCAATACACCTCTTGTCAACTAACTGTCCTATCTCACAAAAAAGGCACAATAAAGTTAACAGTTTTAAATACGTACACATGACTGCTTTCACAAAAGCACATTTTTGTAGACAAAAACGAAAATTTTCAAAGACGTGTGTGACGCTGTGCAGAGAAATAGAGCTGAGGCTGGATCCAAACGCAGTGTAGCTTTAATAACAAACTTGGAACAGGATACAAGACAAGAAGCAGGACTCGAGAATTCAAAAACACCAACGTTCACATACATAAATTCAACAACCAACCAAGACAGGGCAGAAACACAGGGCTTAAATAATCAAGGACAAACGAGCTAGACAAGGTAACAAGGGGGCGTGAGAAATAAGAAACAGCTGGGACAAATAATCGACGGGGAATCACTAATAACAAAAACACACAAAACCACATCATGATAACGTGCAGTTTGAAACCCATATTCAAAAGTTTTGCGTTTTCAGTCCCCAAAACACTGTTATGAACAGTGATAAGGGATAAAAAGTTTTCAGTTTTTAGTTGAAAATGCGTAATGTAAATGCCTCAAAAATGTAGCCATTGCTTTTTATGCTGTTCTATGACAGAAAACCGCACTTGAAATATCAGATCTTTATTTTCTGCGTTGAAAGCAAATAATGAGGATTAAAGTTAAATAAAACATCATAAAGCATCCAAACTAAACAAACTATATGTAACAAAAACAATACACAAGAATGATTACACACTTTTATATTAATTCACGTTCCTTTTCAGGGCTCCACACATGAGAGAGCGATATACAAGTCTACACACTTCTGTTAAAACAGTGATGTAAAACTTGAAACAAAGAAAACTCAGAGCATTTGCACATTTCATGTAAAAAATGACAATACTTATACAAAACATCAGCGGTTTCTCATTGTTTAAAGGTTGATGGAATCAAGAATCAGTGTTTTTGCTAAATGAAAAATAGAGTTGGAAAATATTGCCATGTCAAGATGTGCCAAACTTGACACTCGCATCCAAATGAGATCTGTAATAAAACCAAAAGCTGCTTCAACCAAGTATAAGGTCAGGGGTGTGAACAGTTATTTAATCCAACTTTATTTAGCTTTATTTGTTCCACTGAAATCTCACTGGTTTTTAGTGACATTGCATAGGTTGTAATTTTTGCATTAAACATGCACAAATTCTGATGTGATTTATCTTTTGTTTCAATTTTTACATCAGAAAAACAGCTGTTTTAAAGGGGACGTGAAGACTATTTCCACTGTACATAAAGGCTGTTTGTTGCGCGATTAGTCGACTATAGCTTAAATGAACGACCACTACTCGACTAGAAACATCTTCATGTCAAGGGCAGCCCTGCTGTATTTGTATTCGTCTCAGTTGTTTCCCACAGCAGGTTGTTTAATCTGACACAGAGACACTGAGGCATCATAAACCCTGAATCCAGCATAGAGGGGTTCAGTGAATGTGCTGTTGAATGTGTGTAAGTGTATGAGTGTGTGTGTGTCAGAGACGCTGTAGAAGGACAGAGTGCCGGCTGACCAGTCCAGATAGACACCCACTCTTTTAGAGCGGCATGAAGGGACGGGTATGTCTTTGTTATTATTATTATGCCAAGCACTGTATCTGTCAGCAATACAGAAAACACACCAGGACATTTCATTATAACCAAATCTACACTGATTTTCTCCTCCCCTGCTGATTCCTTTATATGTCATTCCTATATAACTCCAGCCGGTCCACTCAGCCTCCCAGTAACAGCGTCCAGAGAAACTCTCTTTAGAAAGAACCTGCTCATAGTGTTTGAATCTCTCTGGATGATCAGGATACGGCTGTGGCTCTTTGACATATGTCAACTTCTTGTTGTCCTCAGATAGAAAGAGACGAATGTTTGCTGTGTTTGGATCCAGTGTGAGATCACAGGCATCTGAAGAAGAAATGTGAATTTTTCATTAATTTTGTGCAATTTTTTTGTTGGCCCTTTGAATGTAGCTGTTTGTTGGTGAATTTTAATTTAAAGGCCAATTATTAATTATTAGTCAGGCAACCTGAATTACTACAAGACTTGAAATTGGCCCACACTTTTAACCCATACACTTAAATACATAATACATTTAATCTATTACAGAGGCTATATTATGAGAGAACATGTTTTCATGCTTGAATGTTTAAAAAAACACATTAATTTTCCCATATTCTCCATTGCCCTAGCTTGTCTCTTCCCAGTCTGATAGTAACACTGTTTAGTTCCTGTCTCTATGGAAAAAAAAAGACAGGTTCCCCTATCTCCACCTTCTAGAAAAGCACAATGTGCTCTGATTGGCCGGCTGCAACAGTGTGTTGTGATTGGTTAACCGCATTTTGCGCATTCTCTGTTTTAATTATTCTGATTTCTTTTGATTATTTTAATTTCTTCTATGTAAAGCACTTTGAATTACCATTGTGTATGAAATGTGCTATATAAATAAACTTGCCTTGCCTTGCCTTGCATTGAATGTGTTGAGAAATGTCCAGTGGTGGAAGTACACAAATCAAGTACTTGAGTAAAAGTATAGATACTCTAATAAAATATTACCCCATTAAAAGTATAAAGGTACTTGATTTTAATGTACTAAAATATTAAAAGTAAAAAATACTGATTAATGAATGTTTAATTTGTCGTTTTAAAAAACTTGGGGAGGGGGGAATTGCTGGAAGTGATATCATTATAAATTGTTATGAATTGTCAAGTAGCAAGTCACTAAGAAAGATTATAAGCAGTTGATTCATATAAAATATATATTATTTTAATAATAATAATAATTATTATTATATATAAAATTATAAAAGTATAAAAAGTACAAAATAAACAATCACCAATCAGTCCTTTTTTTTACTTTTAATACTTTAACTTTAACTTAAAAAGTATATGAAAAATCAAACCCTTTTCTTCTTTTACTCAAGTAAAATTGAAAAGGGGTTCTTAATACTGTTACAAGATTAAAGTTTTATTAGGATGTCTGTACTTTACTCAAGCTTGAATTGAGTTGTGTCCATCACTGGTGTACAAACATGGCTTACATTTTTGCAGTCCTGGTGTGATCCTAATATGTTCTCCATGGTCAAAACTAGAGAGAGAGAAACACACAAAACATATCGCAAATATTTGATTATCATTTTAATTGCAAAAATGTTAGAAAATATAAGCTAAACAGAAAATAAAGAGAAACTACACTGTTCAGACTGATCTCATGAAGTAGTGTGTGTATGACACGCCAATTCGTATTTCCATTTTTGGCGTGCTATCAAGACGCATAATCGATTTTCAGCGTGTTTATGAACGCCGTTGACTTAACGTTATTACTGTATATGTAAATATATGACTTACCTCAACCCCGTCCCTAAACCTACCCGTCACTGGGGTTAATGGCATTTATGACGGTTCCCTTACCATCCTAGGAAAAAAAAAGTTCGCTCCCCAGATGTAGATCTACATTTTGCTTCGTTTCGCGCGGACATTTGACAGCGTGTACAGACACGCGGAATCACTCGGACGTTAATGTCGTAGACATACACGCATACACGTGGATAGCTCAAAATGCGTAGAGATAACACGCCACTTGACTCGAAAGTGGCGTGTATGTTTACGCAAAAGTCATGATGTCATGTTGCACTGTTAGACCTTACCAGGTTTTTTTTCACAGTACAATACTGGCAACACTGTTGCCAGTTATTTACTGTAAAATTGAACTAAAACTTGAGTTAACTAATTTCACTTGCAGAAACCGACTGCCTTAAACTGTCATTTAAAAGTATTAACTAAAATTTATAGTGCATTAAAGGGTTAGTTCACCCCAAAATGAAAATTAAGTCATTAATTACTCACCCCCATGCTGTACCAACCCCGTAAGACCTTCGTTCGTCTTCGGAACACAAATGAAGATATTTTTGATTAATTTGAGAGCTGTCTCACTACCACATTGGCTGCCTAAGGGACTGGCTCTTGACGGCCCAGAAAGTCAATGAAGAAAATGTTTAAATATTCCATGTGACTGCAGTGGCTCAACTATAAGTTTATCAAGCGACGAGAATACTTTTTGTGCGAAAAAACAAACAAAAATAACCTTTTCTTCCTTGTTGGCCTGAAACGAGACTTCCATACGATTTCCACGACGCATGCGCGAGAACTGAACTGAAGTAGTTGAAGGAGATCGCAATTCTCGCGCATGCGTCGTGGAAATCTAAGGAAGTCTCGTTTCAGGCCAACAAGGAAGAAAAGGAATAGTCGAATAAACTCGTTATTTTTGTTTATTTTTTCGCACAAAAAGTATTCTCGTCGGTTGATAAACTTATAGTTGAGCCACTGCAGTCACATGAAATATTTAAACATTTTCTTCATTGACTTTCTGGCCGTCAAGAGCCAGTCCCTTAGGCAGCCAATGTGGTAGTGAGACAGCTCTCAAATTAATCAAAAATATCTTCATTTGTGTTCCGAAGACGAACGAAGGTCTTACGGGGTTGGTACAGCATAGGGGTGAGTAATTAATGACTTAATTTTAATTTTGGGGTGAACTAACCCTTTAATAATGTGAGCAAAGTATTATTGTGAACTTATTTAATTAAATTAACAATGTAAAAATGTATTTGTAATTTATTTTTTAAATGAATTAATTTTTACAGAACAAATGTATAATTTTACAATAACTTAACATTTTCTTTATAAGTGTGAAATTCCATAAAAATGCATATATTTACACCAAGTTTACCTTTTTTCAGTCATTTAACTGATTATGTGTGTTACTGAAAACAAAAGGTATATTTTTCCTGAAAATGAAGGCTATTGTCATGATTTTTATGTGCAAAAATTAGTGGTGGGCAACGATTAAAATTTTTAATTGCGATTAATCGCATTAATTAATAAACTTAATTTTCGATTAAAAATTCAACATGATAGTAATGTTGATTTCTGATATCCAAACGAGAGATGTAGTTTGCGTGCAGCGTTTGGATGTTTTGAGCTGCTGTTCAGCCTATTTTACACAGCGCGTGAGAAACGGCTTCAGCTGCCCCGAAAAAATCAATCACAGAATAAGAGAGAGGTCGTGCTTTGACCATTTTTAATTAATAATAAAAGTAAAAAAATAGGCTACAGGAACATATTTAAAATAATTGCAAGTTACCTCGCTGCTCCCCTGGAGGATAATTGAAGACTCCTCCTCTAGGGAAATATTTGTCTTCAAATCATTAAGAATATAAATGCACACATAAATAAATGTAATTTTGCCCCACATACTTGAGTAGCTGCAGTGAGTAGTTTGGATGATTCAGTTTGTCATTGAGCAGCTGAACTCCTGACTCTCCTGGGTGATTGTAGCTTAGATCCAGTTCTCTCAGGTGTGAGGGGTTCGAACTCAGAGCTGAAGACAAATAACCACAGCCTTCCTCTGTCACCATACAGCCTGACAACCTACAGACACACACAATCAGATCATCAGCCAACACACATCAACATTATGACCTGTTGACTGGACATTATCTATATGTTCTTATTACCTCAGTATCTGCAGCTGACAGTTAAAACTCTTCAGTCCATCAGATAGCAGCTTCACTCCTGAATCCTGCAGGTCATTATTACTCAGATCCAGTTCTCTCAGGACAGAGTTTGAGGATTGTAGAGCTGATGACACAATTTCACAATCCTGAGCAGTGAGGTTACAGCCAGCAAGACTAAGAGAGAGAGAGAGAGAGAGGGGAGAGAAAAGAAAACTTTCTTAAAATAAACTTATTTTGAATATTGATCTTTCTTTCTTTCTTTCTTTCTTTCTTTCTTTCTTTCTTTCTTTCTTTCTTTCTTTCTTTCTTTCTTTCTTTCTTTCTAAAGCACAGTACACCAGTTGCCCACAGTAATAACAAAGATAGTAACAAAGATAATACTAATGATAGCCTACATAGAACAAATAATACAACAATATCATACATACAAATAAACACAAATTCAAAGTAAAACATACCTCAGCACCTAATTGAGATTAAAAGCCCGGGAAAGCAAATTAAATTTTTACCAAGTTTTAAAAAGGGATAATGTTGGAGACATTCTGAAATACAATAGTAATATGTTCCACAGTTTAGGTGGACAGCGACAGAAAAAAAAGCCAATCACCCCTAAGTTTTAGTCTGGATCTAGGAATAGTCAAGAGCAGTTGATCAGAGGACTTGAGAGGTCTAGCAGATGTTAGATACTTACAAATCATTGTTTTATAAATTAATTTTAAAAAGCTTAAAACTCACATGACCAGCAAGTTCCTGCCATGCTTTATGACCATTCCCTTCCTTTTATTAAAAATAATAATGATATTAAAATGAATTACATGCCAGTGTGAACATCCTTACAGAAATGTTTTCAACAATAACATTATTATCAATTATGCTAACATTTGTTAACCTTTCACAATTCTAAACAATTGCTATCCTTAAACAGTTCTATTTTATGATACAAGTAATTTCATATTTTTTTAAATGTAATTTTATAGTTACAATATAGATATTTAATTTAAATGTATTTGTTATTAAAAATAAGCAAAAAAGCAAATTACAAAAAATGTACAAATACTACATAAATACTAGTGCTTAATTTCTTTTTTGAATGCTACTATTAAATAGAACTACATAATTGGGTTAACTGTTGCCAGTAGTTTACTGTAAAAAATTTTGGGTCACATTGAGCTGAAGAGTAGAGCCTGAGCTTCAGTCCAGGAGAAGATCTGCAAACATTTGTGATGCGCTGCATGTTTCTTTAAAAGGCAGTGACTGTGAAGTTGCTGGTCTAGTGGAAATCTCTTTATTTAACCAAGTTTTTTTGTGGTTACAAATTAAATAAGTTCACAGTAATACTTTGTTCACGTTCTTAATGCATTATACATTTTAGTTAATACATTTAAATGACAGTCCGTCGATTTAAGGCAGTTGGTTTCTGCAAGTGAAATTAGCTAACTTGAGTTTTAATGCATTTTTACAGTAACATAAAGTATATATGTATGTTACAGTAATTAACTGTACAATTAACAGTAAATTGCTGGCAACAGTGTTTTTTACTATAAAAAATAATAAGGTCTAACAGTGTGGCTAAAAAAGTTCTTCACTCTATAAATTAACTATAGACTGATTCTTAAAAAAAAAGATACAATTTATTCTGTCAAGCATTGGGTGATTGACTATTTTCTTTTGTTGTTGGATTAACAATAATTACACAGAATATTAGGCTACTGGCCCTTAAAGACCTGCACGTTCCCAATCCAATGGAACATATACGATTTCTTTCTACAAATGGTTTATGTTCACTAAAGACATACCTGACTGTGTTTACATGAATACTCACCAGGACGTGCAAGGACTCGCCTGTCTTAACGACCTGTGCACGCACTTCAAGTCTGAGTCCGGCAGTGCAAGCATGTCCCACACTTTTTCTCATGCATGCAAGTTTCTATGTATGTTCAAAAGATGTCTTTTAAACGTCTTTGTCACAAAAGCGTATGTTGAAAAGATGTCCACTGATGAGCCAGAATGAAAGTTTTTATAACGTCTTTTTTTTACGTGTCTGATATAGACGTTCATGGAACATCCATACAAGGTTAAAAACTGAAAAATATGGCCACAATGGCCACATTTGAACTAAAGTCATTTAATGTCTCACTTGTTTCTGGACCAAATACTCCCAACTCCCAGACAATGTGTGTTTGTCCAAATATCAGGAAAATAAAGGAAACCATGCACCCCTTTAGACAACTTAGCATCTGTTGAAGTCATCATTGTAGTGGGCAGTATTTGCTTTAGTTGGTCCCTGTACTTGGATGCTGTAGCTGTGTCTTTGTGAGACACAACACTGAATGAAAAGTGGGATTTTTGGCAATTAATGCCACATAAAATTTTCGTGGAATTTGAGGTTAACGGCTATTAACAGAAATTTTTGGTCAGCACCAAAAACTGTCAGGAACTGCCAGGAATTGACGTGGGGATTTGTTTTTCAGTGTTGCCCCCATGACCCCCCTACCTCCAGGTCTAGGGGTGGCTTTCACATGTAAATGAAATCGCTGTGAGCCATACAAATGCAAATCAAGTAAGTTGGCAGTGGTGGAGGTGTGATTACCTTTCTGTAACAAGATGCTTACATTTTAACAATGATTTGTTCATGCAAGTGACTACAATATTTTTTAACTAAAGTAACTTATTTTCATTTTCTTTAATTTTAAATAATTCTTTGTTATATTTTCCATCAAATATGTGACTACACATGAAATATAATACAGAGGAAACATTTGACCAAGATTAAGGCAATGATGAAAGTTTAATGATATTGTCTGGAAAGGTTATAAGTCACCCATGTCATAGTAAAACTTCAAATAATAGCCGAGTACCAAATAGACATCTGCCTCTAATAGCCTACACACCTGGTGTGGCGACAAGTTAAAAGATAAATAAAGACTGATAAAGTCTCAAATAGAGGTCTGGTCTGTTTTTTAGTTTCGAGTTGTATTTAATCTTCTAAAACCCGTCAGATCCGTCTGTTGTAGTTGAGGATCGCGGTTATGATGATAGTGATGAATAGGGTCAGTATCACATTATTACAGTTGTTTATAGCCTTCAGCGACACGTGAGCAGCGTGTGTTTTTTTCAGCGTGCATGTTAATCAATGAGCGCGTTCACACCGCAAGGGTCAAGCAGGAGCATCCGAAGAACAGTCCGAAAATTGCGGTAAGACATGGTCATTTCTAAACTAAAAACAATAAGAATCACTGTGTGTTCCCAGTAAGTAAGTTCACAATGTATTTTTTTTTTGTTCTGCTTTATTTTGTTTCATAGGAAGCCGTCCGTCGCCTGCACAACTCCGAGACGAATCACAGGCGCTATGCTGGGCAAGGGTAAGACATACATACAAAGCATGCGATCTACAGTGTAGAAAGCGAATAATGTTGGATTCATATTTCTTTTACTGTTATTTAATCTCACATTTGTTTTCACAGACTGTATTCGCCGTTTTTGGTCGGAGCTCTGCAAGCAAGCCCGGATTGTATGGTGTTGACGATGCGATTGTGTAAGTATCTGTTACTGTGGGGTGTGTATATTGTTTTTTTGTTAATATTGTTTTTGATGTATGTGCTGTGGTCACGCTATTTATTTACAATGCACACAAATATTGTTTTCCAGCTGCATGCGTCACAGGCGTCTGTGCAGTGGATCATGTTCGGACAGAAAGCCACCACCACATGGCCCAGAGGTGGACAGACATTTCATCCCTGAGCTGCGTATTTGATGTATTTTGTTATTGCTTGTTAATATGCATTTGCTTTCTTTTTTTTAAATAAAAGTTTTAATCAACATTTGTCTCAGAAATTCTTCATGTTCTTCATAAATGTATGTCCTAGTTATTAACATGAATACAAAATGTATCATATGGCTATATCACATGAATATAGTCTCCAGTAAGAGGTTTATTTTTATTACAGGATTATATATATAATTTATAAATAATAATCATTATTATTGGGGAGGGGTTTACCCGAGCCTGCATTTCTAAAGGTCCAGGGTGACCAATAGCGACAGATCTACCAACCAATCAGATGTGATTGATGATGTCATTTGTTTAACCCAATGACTGAGAAGCTAGGTCGGGCTGCTGAAGATGCTGCGCTTTTCATATGGTAATAGAGTTCTTAATCCTGCGCGGGAGTGGGGGCGCCTATACATTTCTCGGCATAGGCGAACGCGCGACTCTGAAAACGTCCAATAACTGCCGGAGATTAGAGGGATTCACAGCAGTTTACAGGGACGAAAACCATAGTTTTCATGCAGTGCAAATAGGGGTCATCAGCTTCTTGTTGATGATCAGAAAATTAGTGTCCAATGCTGAGTTTTTAATTTTGGGTTAATAATTTGGCCTTTATAGCAAAATTTTAGATATGTATCACAACAGTGAAAATAAAAAAAGGCATTAGAATAAGGGATGAGTTTTGTACTATAAAGCCACCCAACAACATGCATTGTTTTGGTTGTCACCATTGTTGTGATTTATATGCAAAATCTTGATGTCCGTGTGTGACTACATAATTCACTTGCTCAAAACTTTACATCCATACAGTGATGTTTTCGTCAGTGATGACGACAACGAAATGATTTCGTTAACGCATCGTTTTTTTATGACGATAACGCGACGATGACTAGCTAAAAATAGCTCTAAGGTGACTAAAACATGACGAGACGTTTTCGAGTTTTCGTTGACGAGACGGAACGAAAATGATTATGAGTCTGACGTTCACAATGCATGTAATTTATGCCTGTTTTGCGTGAAATTGGTCTGTATTGAGCTAAAAATAAGTATCAGCAATGCTGCCGTTTCCTATCGCGTGCGCCCAGCAGATTCCATGCAACAACAACACAGGGTTTAATGGTAGTTTTTGTACCAAGTCAAGTCAATAGAGTCGGACAAAAACTAGGATAAAACCTGTTGGAAAGCATATTTTGCAGAGATGTTTGTGTGAGCATATCAATGAACATCCCTGACCACTCGGTGAGTTTGACGTCTTTGTAAACTAATGTTTAATGCGTTTTATGAATGATTGTGGGTCCTGCTACACAAACCTAAAATTCTCGGGACAACAGCATTTGTCCAAATTTCAATCTTAACCGTTTTATTTCATCAGAAACGATCTTAAAACAGGGCTTTAAGTGTAAAATACCGAACTAACCAAGACCAAATACAGTGTTTATTCAGGGATTGTCTTATTCATTTTTATAAGGGATGAGCGAGTACAGCATTATCTGTATCTGTTAACCATATGAATTATCTGTATCTGTATCTGTACTCGGACTGGGCGGGGCCTAAACCCGGAAGTGGGTCGGGTAGTCTTGAAATGGGCGGGGTTTTAACCGGTATGTTATTTTAAGCATGCAATTGATATGGGTTGATCTGAAATTGCTATATTTATTGCTGATAAGAAATAAAACTATTTACATGACAGCATCAGCATTGAGCTTCAGATCAATGGTTTTGATCACGATAACAAACGAACAACAGAACAAGTTTTGCAACAATGAATACAACACATGTGGCTGCAATTATGAAGTAAAATGTAATGAACAAGAGTTTTCATCTCAACTACGGCTGGGTGATATGGACCAAAAGTCATATCCCGATATACGTATATTTAGGCTGAATTTCGATATACAAAATATATCCCAATATTTTTTTTCTGCAAAGTGAGAGCAAATGTTCAGTCAAAGCCAAATATGACATGTCACAAGTAGTTTTATTGAAACTTGAACATTTGTTAAATCAAAGGAATAAATAATAAACAGGTTTCTTCACCTTAGGGCTGCATGATTAGCTATGACAAAAATCTTAATTGCAGATTATTCCCTTGGAATTGTAATTGTGATTTATTAATTGGTTTATTTATTTTGTTAATACAACGTTGGTATGAGCCATTACAGTCATTTAAAAAAATATAAAAAATAACACAAAGGAAAATAGGGGCATTAAGGGGTTAATATAGAAACGACAGTTACCATGGTGAATAGTGAATACACAATACTAACAAGAACTATTTATGAAACATGGAAACTGCTCCTGGTGAATAGAATGAAAATCATAAATGCATTGCTTTTATTTCGTGTAATTTACATGCTCGTATAGTTTCTTTTGCACTTTATATACAGTGAGGCGATCCAGCGCGCGTCGCCGCATTTGCGCGTGCAATTGAGTGTGCGCTACGACTAACGTTACAGTATAACGGCTGACAGGACAGAAAGTCCGTTTTGCTGAGGTGAAAGACTTTATTTCATAACATAACATGCTTTAATCAAGCACGCAAAGTGGAAAAGGAGTGGCTGGGGCGCGGGGAGCAGTGCAGAGAGCTCTGGGTCAGCACTCAGCAGCTTGCTTGGAGCAAGGATCACAGCGCAAACCTGAACTAGCCTATATCGATATGCAATATGTTCTAATTACATATCACATTTAAAAATATATATATTCTTTATATTGATATATCGCTCAGCCTTAATCTCAACATAACTTTTTTTATTTATTTTTTTATTTTTTTATCCGAGCACAGATATTGACTCGTATTACTCGTATAATATTCGTACTTGACAAAAGTGCTTTATCCGTACCGGATACACGTTTCAGCCGAGTATTCGGCTCAACTCTAATTTTTATGTTTAACACACTCCAAGTGTCATGTTTGTTTCATACTTTATATTCAAGTATGCATTCCAAACCTTTGTTCAATGCACCTCAGTATAAGATATTTATTTTATTATTTTGTTTCAGAATGTTTGCAACTTTGCAGTTTGAACAAGTTAAAAACTGGGTTGTATAATGTTTGTGTTTACAAATAATATGCATCTTATTGTTGCATACTACGTTGTTCATTGCACTTTAGCAATTTCTCAAATAAAGCCACAATTGCCAAAGTAAGAATATTCTATTCTATTCTTATTCCATTCTTATTCTATTCTATTGTCAAGAATATTTTATTCTTGGCTTTTTTGGAGTAAAACAGTGATTAATAGCACTTGATCTCAGCTTTCTTCTCCATTGTATTTATGCACAGGGACCAAGATCCCAACTAAAATCAACACTGATCACCACAATGGTGACTTCAAATGAAACAAATATCAACATTTAAACATTCTGTTTATTCTCAATAAGAACTTCTGTATCTGACTAAAATAGCAGAGGTGGAAAGTCCAGTGGTCAGAAAGTAAAAGTCCAGAAAGTAAAACAAATTGTCTATGTAATTTACTTCTCCTAATTGAATATTCTGCTCGTCACCATTATTGAGATGCATTGACTAAATCTTGACGTCTGTGTTTATTTGGATCCGGACTCAAGAATGTTGAAGTTACTGAGATGATTAAATAATGAAACGAGCGATGATTGAGCATTATTAAAGACACCTGATAACAAGCAGAATAACTGAAGGAGAAAATATATATTTTAGTCACCATTATGGTGATCAGTGTTTGCTTTAGCTGGGCTCTTGACCCTTACATGTTTCATTTAAGAATTTGTTTGGCTGCTGTGACAGAATTTTAACAGCCAGATAAACAAAGAGTAAGGGTAATCAGATGTTGTCGATCATGTTTAAACATTAACACCATTTGACCTGAATCACTGAACCCATTTAGAGTTTACTCTCTGATTTAAATGTATAATGATCATAACCACATCGCAGTGATTCTTTTGCTTTAGATCCAGATTTTTCAATATAAACCAAATAATATCTTAAAAGTTGTTCTGATATATATATAAAATCTTTCTTTTAGGCACACACTGAAATCAAGATTCAGTGTATAAATCTCAATAATGGTGACAAACAGAATATTCAACTAGGAAAAGGAAATTACTAAGACAATTCAGATCATAATTTATTCATACTGCAATGCATGATGGGAACCATGAATGAGTTTTGATTGGTGGCACCCAGGATGCACTGCAACATGCTTTATAACTGGCACCATTATTAAGTATTACAGGCTGATTATCGTCTTTTAATAAAATTAAGTCTTTTGAATAGAATATCTTTTAAGAAATATATTAGATAATATTTTAATTACTGAAAATATTATATTTTGAATCAGAAGGATAGACTCTATAAATGTGTTTTGTGACAAAATGTTGATTATGTCAAAACATAACCAACCCCATCTGATCACTTTTTGTATTTGTTCATCTGACAGTTATAACTCAGATACAACAGCTAAACCAAATCTAAAGTTCATAGTTTAAGGGTCAAGAGCCCAACTAAAACACACACTGATCTCCATAATGGTGACTTAAAAAATGTGACTCTCCTTTAGTGATTCTGCTTGTTAACATCAGGTGTCTTCAATAATGCTCAATCATCACTCAATTATTCGCTTAATTATCTCATTAACATTAACACTCTGGAGTCTGGATAAGTTATTTTAACACTGGAGTTTTTGCTGTAGGTGGAATAAAAACATGGCAGGACTTTTACTTTCTGATCCCTGGACTTTCCATCTCTGTCAAAGTATTTGTATTTTATGTCTGTGATTAAGAGCAGCATGAGCGGCTCAGTGGGAAACGCTGTCTGAGTCAGAAAGTCTTTCCTTCAGATCTGTGTCTCTCACAATCCACTGATGTGTGAATTACAGATACTACGTTTTTAACCTTGTATGCATGTTTCATGAACGTCTATATCGGACACGCAGAACACATAAAAAAGACGTTATAAAGACTTTAATTCTGGCTCCTCAGTGGACGTCTTTTAAATGTACACTTTTGTGGCAAAGACGTTGAAAAGACATCTTTTGAACATAATTTTGCTTAGTGGGTCTGCAAAAACATTCAGATATGTTCTTATTTATTTTTTGTAATAAAACTATTAAGCACTCACAGAGCTATTTTGCAGTTCCTCACAGCTGGTATCAGTCTTCTTCTTCCCTCATCTGATGTGTTGTATTTCTTGAGGTCCAGCTCATCTAGCACCTCCTCTGACATCTGAAGCATGCAGGCGATTGTTGAGCAGTGAGCAGGAGAAAGTTTCTCCTCTGAGTGTTTGTCTGATTTCACAAAGTCCTGAATCTCTCTGGACAGAGTCTGATCTTTCACTTCCAGCAGACAGAGGAACAGATTGATGGATCTTTCAGCGGAGAGACCATGTCCATCTTTGATCTTCTCTTTAATGTACTGTGTGGTTCTCCTGATGCTCTCTGAGCTGTTCTCTGTGTGTGTCAGTAGATCCAGTAAGAGTCTCTGATTGGACTCCAGTGAGACGCCCAGCAGGAACCGTAGGAACAGATCCAGCCGTCCATTCTCACCCTCAATGGCATCATCTACTGCACCTTTAAGCAATTTTTGTACTGAAGCAAAATTCTTCAGACTCTCCATAGTTGTGTTTACATGATAGTAAAATGCATAGAAAGCAGCGAGAAACTCCTGCACGCTCAGATGAATGAAGCTATAGACTTTCCTCTGATGAATCACAGATTCCTCCTTAAAGATCTCAGTGCAAATCCCAGAATACACTGAGGCGTCAGTGACGTCTATGCCGCTCTCAATCAGGTCCTCCTCATAGAACATCACATTGCCCTTCATCAGCTGTTTGAAAGCCACTTCAGCAAGTTTCACAATCACTTCTCTGTTGGACTGCAGGAGGTTCTCTGAATCTCTCTCTTTATACTTCTGATTCCTCATGTGGATCTGAATCAGCAGGAAGTGGATGTACATTTCAGTCAGAGTTTGAGGGATTTCTGCACTCAGATCTTCTTCCAGGAGCTTCTGAAGCACAGTGGAGGAGATCCAGCAGAAGACGGGTATGTGACACATGATGTGGAGGCTTCTTGCTCTTCTGATGTGTGAGATGATTCTGCTGGCTTGATGCTCATCACTGATTCTCTTCCTGAAATATTCCTCTTTCTGAGGCTCATTGAATCCCTGAATCTCTGTCAGACGCTGGATGTATTTGGAGGGGATCTGATTGGCTGCTGCTGGTCTGGAGGTGATCCAGATGAAAGCAGAGGAAAGCATCTCTCCTTTCATGAGGTTTGACATCAACACACCCACTGATGAAGTCTCAGTCACATTAGAAACTTTCTGAGTATCTGAAAACCTCAGTGTGATTCTGCTTTCATCCAGACCATCAAAGATGAACACAACTCTACACTCCTCATACATCTTTGCGTCCAGATCTTGAAGTTCAGGATGAAAGTCCCACAGAAGTTTGTGAAGACTGTACTGATGATCTCGAATCAAGTTCAGCTCTCGAAATGGAAGCACAAACATGAAATCTACATCCTGATTGGCTTTTCCCTCAGCCCAGTCCAGAATGAACTTCTGCACAGAGACGGTTTTCCCGATTCCAGCGATGCCTTTAGTAAGAACAGTCTTGATTTGCTCTTTTTCCTCACGTCCTCGTTCGGGTGAGGCTTTAAAGATATCATTGCAGTGGATTGGAGTGTCTTGTGGGTGTTGTGTTCGGGCTGATTTCTCCATCTGTAAAACCTCATGTTCTTCATTCACTCCTTCACACTCTCCCTCTATGATGTAGAGCTGTGTGTAGATCCTGTTCAGGAGGGTTTCATTCCCTTGGAGTTTGGATGCCTCAAATAATCTCTCATACTTGTTCTTCATGCTGGTTTTGTGCTGGTCTTTGACTCTCTGCAGGTCTTCAGTCTCTAATGTGTGTGTCTGAAGGATTGATTCAGATTTGTCCCGCGTGATGTGGGTTTGATAGTGGGATGTAGAGAACGATTCAGATCTGATCAACTCACATTTCTTCTTTTTGCTTTAACAAAAAAGAAAATTACAAAGGACAATTTCAATGTCCCTTGCAGACCACCAGAAATATATTCCAGCAGCCACATACTTCAATATGACGTCAGGAAGATGGACTCCAGCTAATCCAACATCAGTCAGACGTCATATTTTGGTTGAAAGTTAAAGTCAGATTGACGTCTAAACCCAACGTTTGTTTGGCGTCAAGCTCCAATGTAAGACAGATGTTGAATTTTGGTAGTAATATGCACTGCAAAAAAATGTGACATGCATGGCAGCACATTAAATCTCTGAAGATCTCAGCAGAGGAGTAAACAACTCAAACAGCATTACCAGCTTCACTTATTAACTGACTTTATTTCATTTCCGTTTTAATGAAATCAATAGTTGTATTTTAAAGTCACCATGATGGTGGTTAGTGTTTGCTTTAGTTGGACTCTTGACCCTTAACCTTTTAGTACAACATTTTCTCTGGCTTCTATAATTGTGTTTATAAAGCACAGTTATTTTGGCTAAAAAGTCTAGAGAAAATGATTGGCTTTATATTGGTAATCTAATGATCATTGAATAATTGCTTGAATCACTGATCTTATTCAGAGTCTAATGTTTTGATCAAATAGGACTTGTGTTTTTAATGTTGTTTTCTAATAGAAACAAATTCATTTTCACAGCACGGTAACAGTGTTTCTTATCAGATAATATAGAGTATTTTAAAAACATTCAGTGCATTAAACTTTTTCATCTACTTATCACTTAGACATTAAAAATCAGTGCATGACTCAACAATGGTGACAATCAATGAAAAGCTTCATGCTGCAGTGCATGCTGGGTACCACCAATCAAAACTCACCCATATCTCCCCAGCATGTATTGTGACATTAATAAATTATGCAGCTGGATTTTTTGTAGCTTGTTTTATACTCAGAGTTGATCTAATTATCAGGATATTTTGTTTGATTGTCACCATTGTTTAGATTCATATGCTGTTTCTTGATGTCTGTGCATCTAGAATACACCATAGATAAAAACTATGTGCATTAAATAGTTTTTAAAAAGCAAGCATGGTTTTGATAACATTAAATAAAGTAAATCTGAATAGTTTTAAGTGAAGCTGGTAATAAGAATACGGCCATGCATTTCACCTTTTTGTTTGGTTTAATCCAACCAAAATTCAACGACTGCCCAATGTTGGAGCTTGACGTAAACAAACATTGGATTTAGACGTCAACCCGACATTCATTTTGAACCAAATTCTAACGTCTGAACAACACTGTAGTCTATATTCTGTGCCTGCATGGATAATTAGTAACCAGATGTGAATTTGGTACCCCAATTTCTTAAATCGTTATTATCTCATATGTACTACAGTAAATTAGCAAGTACAAGTTTATACTAACGGAGGTCCAGAGGTTAAGCGTCCATCACAGAATTCAGGCGGTTGTATAATGGATTTGTTACTCTTCAGAGACACACCACTGGGTTCTGGAGATGTCAATATCTTCCTCCTGCTGATACTGACAAAAGACAAAAAAAAAAACAACAACTTCATAATTTTAACCCTGTGGGCTGTTTGCCAATTTCCATGTCTACAGCTTGAACATACCCTTGATTTACATTTATCCATATAGCCCAGTCAACAATTTGATCTCACAGTAATCTCACCATGAGCTCCCAGGATACTTGTGATGTGAAACACAATCTGAGTTCACAATGAGCTAAAAGTGTAACTTCACGGCGCCCTCACTGTGTGCTGATAGTATAGCCATAATGTGAGGTCAAAGTGTACTAGATACCAAGCATGCATTGCAGCATGAAACTTTTATTGTCACTCTTGTTGAGATTCATAAACTGATTCTTGATTTCTCACAATGATCAAGTAAAGAACAAATTTAATCTAAAATTACCAACTCCTGAAAAACACTGAATCTAGGTAAAGATTATGTTAATATCATCAACTACATATCAACTTTACCTGCATATATACTCTTTTGGCTCTTCTTGCTAAAACAAATTTGTCTTACTTTCATAATCACAACAGCCAGAGAATAGCACGTCTAGAAGTCGCGGGTCACAAGCCTAACTACAGTAAACACTGATCACCATCATGGTTACGTTAAATGAAATAATAAACCATCAACATATAAACCTCTGTTAATTCTCAATAAGAACTTCTGTAGAAGTCTGACAGAAATAAAGTCAGTCTGGTTAGTAATAAGTGAAGCTGGTAATGCTGTTTGTGGAGTTGTTTAATCCTCCTCTGCTGAGATCTTCACAGATTTGATGTCACCTTTTGTTTCATCTAAGGCTGTGACCGGAAGTCAGTTGTATGCAGTAGCGGTTTTAGGCACAGGCGAACAGGGCAGTCGCCCCGGGGCGGCATTTCTTCATGTCAGATGGGGGGCGGCACGAGCAGTTAAAAAAATCCTCTGTGCCGCGAAGGTTTTCTATTTTTTATCATTTCGATTCAATTATTGGCAATGGCGCCCTTGCTTGCTGAGAAGGAGCCGTTCACGGAAGCGATGTCAAGAGGGTCTCCTGATTAGTTCACGTATCGCGTCTTTTGCGCGCTCAAGGTCGTTATTTCAAATAGGCGCATGCACGGGAAGTGCGCTCATAAACTTTTCAGCACGTGCACCCAAACACTTGGGTGTTTATCTCTTCTCCGTAAATAAATCTTTTAGTAGAGCTACAGCAAGCGTTTTTCTGTGGTGGAAATACATTCGCTACTAAAACTTCTCTGTCGTTGTGGAGAGCGCAGTGCATGGATATAGCTACGATAGCCATGGGGAAATCAGACCGAATTTTACTATTAATAATAAAAGATAAGCTACTGTGCATTATAAATGTCAGGAATGTATCTTTATTGACTCATTCTTTTTATAGAGATGATTTAAATGCTGAAATATGACGTTTATCTTTTTATAAAACCTTTTTTGTGTTAACCTTTTTTTAGTTTAGTAGGTAACATAAAAGACACTCTTTTAAAACAAATCTTTAAAGTCCCTGTGAAATCAAAATTGAACCTATTTACTTTGTTAGCGCATATTACTAGTCTTGTGGTGAACAATTAATCCGTGCAAGTAAATATATATAAAAAAAATGTTTTACCTTGGTAATCTTTAATCAAAATCTGAAAAGTTACTTCCGGTCTGGACCGGTTTCTTTTTCTGATGACGTAGGTTTCACAGTTTGGGTGGGGAAACGCTTAACCACTCCCCTCAAACCGTTAGTTTGCTATGAGCGAGAGATGGAGAGGAGGAGCGCTAGAGTAAAACCATGCCCTCTGTTCAATATTCCGTTTCACTCAGAAATACGTCACAGCACTGGAGAAAAATCGTTTGCAACTTCCGGTTCACGGAGACTTTAAATGTTATTAACTTGGTGAATTGATTTCATTGTGTATTAGGCTTTTTGAACAAGATTCTATGTATGTGATCATTTTGGTTACTATATTCATGAAAGGAAAAAGGGGGGGGGGGGGGGCGCTCGAAGGTGGTCTCGACCTGGGTGTAATTCAAAGTAGAACCGCCATTGATTGTATGTTTGGGGAACATTTTTAAAAGTTGTTTAAATATGTTATCTGGGTGTGCACTCAAACTGTGCTGACCATGTGACACCACTGTGACATCACTGTGATAGTGTTGAGAAACAGGAAGTAGAATGTCCCCCAGTCCCTTAACATGCTCAACATTTTTAATAAACAATGAGCTTATATATTACTGACACTGTGATGTCACTTTGTTCATCACATGATCTCACATGTTGACTGGGAGAAGAAGCTTTTATCGAAAGCAATTTCCAAATAAGCAGTACAACAGAGAGAAAATATTTAATGACCCTAATTAATAATATTAATCATAACTGTAGGCCTATAGAGAATATAAGAAGAACAGTAACAAATGAAAGGTCTAGAAAGTGATGTGTCTTTCTGTGATGGTATACCAGTAGGCATCATTCACTTAACAACCACAAGCTTCTGGAATTCACTGTAAGTCACTTTGGGTAAAAGTATCTGTGAAATGCAAAAACGACTAGTGTTGTACCTGAAGTCAGAGGCCACTGTTGCATCACTGAAAGCAGAAGGCACATTCTTCATGGGTTGATTACAGCTTGATCCAGGAAATTGAGAACTCATTTTAGAGGAAGTGTCTTTATCTTCTCTCTCTTCACTGAGACTCATTTTGGAGGCACTTCCCTCCTCCTTTCTTAAAATGAGTTTTGAGATATTTTTGTGAAAACAATAAATAGCAAGAAGAAAAAATAAACTATTGCCTAAAGTAGTACACTATAAGTTCTACTTATAAGTAGAAGCACAGTTACTGTTACTACCATTTTTAAAATTAAACTGAACACCATTGCTAGCAGCACGTTTTAAACGTAATTTCAAACACAACGTTCAGATATTGTTATATTCAGGTAAATTCATATATTCATGTCTTACGGTTTATTCAGCAAGAATTGTAAATGAGGACACAATAAATCATTTATATGAGGTTTTACCGTTTACTGCTGTGGTAACTAGGATGTGCACCGTAGATGTGCAGTTTGCATCACTGCTTGTGCGGTGCTGCTGCTGAATGCTACAGTTTTTTTTATAACGACAACCAGCGTCGAAAAATAATGATAAAGGTTTAAAATCCCATTTTTAAAAAAAAATACAGTTCTTATGACTACATGAAGCAAACGTTCTGAACTTACCACAAAATGCAACCGTTTTGCAAACCCCAGCGTTACTCTGCTTTACAGCCACAAAATGGCATCACTTAAAATGTGTTCATCTTCTTTCACTTTCATTTTTAACTCCGCTTGTCTTAAAAACTGTCGTGCTCCCTCTAGTGGCGCAGAGCGTCAGCACATTCTAAGTGAGTCTGAGTCTCAGAGCTAGTAGGGGATATAGACCATCTTTTTTTTTTTTTTTTAATTAAACATTTACTTACAAAATACAAAAGTGAAGAGAGAGAGAGCCAGAAGAGAGAGCTAGAGGTTCAGGATTCAGAGAAAGAAAGAAAAGCAAATAAATAAATAAAAACAAAAAATAAAATAAAAAATTAAAAACAATTTTCCCCACAAAACATAATTATTAATTATACATAATTTTTACATAATTTTTGTTACAAGAGGTAGATAAGGATTTGATATAGATCTTACCATCTTCTTAATAGTGAGAAAATGGGGTGGTAACTTCCATGATTAACTCAAACACATCCATGAAATAAAGTATAATATGGTTTCATGTTTGAAAAAAAACAAAGTTTTCCTGTATGATCACAATGCCAAAAAAAGGTGTAAGATTGTGTCTGGTTGTGAATCACAAAAAGTAAAACTTTCAATACTCAATACTCAATTTAAATTTTGACACCATAAACCTTTTGACATCTATGAATAAGCTTAAAGGGCACCTATTATGACCCCTTTTTACAAGATGTAATATTGGCCTCGGGTGTCCTTGTGTGTATTTGTGAATTTTTAATTTATTAAAATTTATTATAACCATTTGAAAATGTCATTTTTGGGGCCTGTTTAAAAATGAGCTGTTTTGGTGTATACGACCTTAAATGCAAATGAGCTGCATATCCCCGCCCTGCCTTTGGATGAGGGAGTAACTTATACCTATGGCAGTCGGTCTAAGCAGAAGGACTGAGAGAGTGAGAGAAACCGCTGTTTTGAATGTCATTCAGCCATACATGTTTGAATCGGAATATATAAATAGTACGAAGAGACTCCGGCAGAATAAACACAAGTGAGAATGGACCAGTACGTCTCGGTATGGTTATTTGATACAGTTATGTACTTATAGAGTTGTAATCGCATCCCCTTTGAAATTATGGATTTGCAACACACAAAAACAATAACTTTGGCGCAATTTTTTAAAACTACAAACACATACTGTGATAAAGTTTGCTACGTACAAGCGAAATTACATTTTTGCGAGGGACCTGTGGCGTCATGTTTACTTGTCATACAGGTGCTTCTGTGGCAAATGTGAGAATATGGCTAACTTACAGAACAAGAACATGCAGTTTTTAATACAATATCTTTAAAAATATATATATTTATAAACGTGTGGTTACACACTATACAAACAGGGTTTAAATTATATACACAGACATCCTACGACGACAATAAGTTTAGACGCATTTGTTTTTGAATTGGCTGACATCGACTGAAATAACTATTTGCTCAAAAATCATAAAATACACTTACTGTTACTGGAGGTGACGGTGGATCGCAAACAGTAGACGACGATCCACACTTGAGGATTAACTTTGAAGCAAGACCTGCTTTGAATTGACTCTCGTTCACAAAACAGTCAGTCAGAAAATGATTCACTCAAACATAAACTTATTTACGAAGGAAAGGCGCCATTTAAACTTCCAAAATACAATACATCCACAGTGTTTTCAGTGGCTCTGATGTCGGAAATAAGTGAAAACTACTATGTATGTCATTATTACATCCCATCCCACAACAGAACACTTATGTCTCTAGGAGACATTACCGGCTGTCATTTAAACAATGGAGGATGGTGTACAGACACAACCACACTGTCAATCAAACCCCTTGCTCAATTCTACGTCACAAAGCGCTGAATCTTAGAACAGCTCGTTCTGAGACAGTGCACAAGATTTATTGAGATTGTTAAAAAAAACACTGGGTGGATTTTTATCATTCTAGGGTGGTTTTGCTCACACACTTACCAACACACATTTATGTTCAAACACCATGTAAAAGTGAATTTTGAATGATAGGTGCCCTTTTAAATGTATATTGTTGATTCCAGCATCACTGATACTACAGCACGATGATGCACTAAGATGCAGAATTTTTTTTATATAACCTTAAGGATTTCTTAAAAGTTGTTCTGATAAATCTAAATCCATCTTTTAGGCACACACAGAGATCAAGAATCAGTGTATGAATCTCAACAATGGTGACAAACAGAATATTCACTTAGGGAAAGGAAATTACTAAGGGTGTATTCATACCTGCCTTGTATGGTTTGATTGAATCGAACTCTAGTTCGTTTGCCCCCTTTGTGCGGACCTTTTGGGCAGGTGTGAATACAGCAATCGAACTCGGGTGTGGACCAAACAACCGAACCGAGACCCAGCTTAAGAGGTGGTCTCTGTACGGTTCCAAACGAATTCTGGTACGGTTCGTTTACGGTGTGAACATGAACCGACCCATTTGCAAGAAAGCACTGCTTCGAAAGAGAATATTCTGGTGCGCTGTCTGGCCACACGATACTGCTGCGCGTCTTTCTGCACATCGTGTGTGCATCATTGGAATGGAAAGAATGAATGAGTGCGTGCATCAGGACATTCACATACAGAGCGTTCTCTTTAGTCTAATCGCGCAGATGCAAAAAAAAATCATTTGCAGTTCTTAAAGCATTTGCAGTTCACCACCTTTTGGTGGTGGTTGACGAGATTCCCCCTTCTATGTAAAGCGAGAGCCAAAAAAAGTTCTATATAAATGTAATAAATTATTAATATTCTTATTATTAATGTAAGGATAGTTACAATACAAGGATGATGATGCGTTAATTTACGTTAAACTGGACAAACTTAATCGCAAGCGTTAACATTGACAGCACTTGTTAGTACACAATAAGAATCTCATTATTTGAATGTGAACATAGCCCCTCTCTATGAATGAAAACTTTATACCTTATCCGTCTTCTGTGCAGTGCCACTTGTAACGCAAAGTTGAGATGTTGCCCACAGATAAAAAAAAAAACAGTAGATGGTCGAATGAAAAGATGCACGAGAGACGAGAGTTGTCATATTTTCCTGCATTTAATAGAACCACTCAAACGTTACACTCGTCGTCTTCTCAAAATCCGAATTACAACATTGTATAGATGACATTGTAGTTTCTTCATATTGCGTTTGTACAGAATTAACACAAAATTAGTAAAAGAACAAATATTGCAGTGTGAAATATATGGAAATATCTCCATGCTGAGCCTTTTTTGCACTTCCTGATTTCCCTTGAGAATCCTTGTCCATTGAATGGACGACCTTAGCACACGTGTGGTTTGGTTTACAAATTTTGGTTCACTTGCAAAAAAATAATAATAATAATAATTTATTTGGTCCGGACCAAAGCAAGTGAACTATCGGACTTTCCTGGTGTGAATACATCCTAAGACAATTCAGATTTTTTATTCATAACACACTGCATGATCGGAGCCATGAATGAGTTTTGATTGGTGGCACCCAGAATGCACTGCAACATGCTTTATAATTGTCACCGTTGTTGAGAATCACAGGCTGGCTATTCAGCTATTCATGTCAGTGTGTATAAATAATGTGATTGTCAAAGTCATTTGTTGGAGGAAAAAAATTAAAAACTGTTTTAAATTGTATTGAATTTAATGAAAATCATTTAAATCACAGGCTCATGTAAAAATACAACCTGATCAACTATGAACCTATTAGTTCATATTGAGGATATGATTCAGAAACAACTGTCAAATAAAACCAAATGTTAATAAATTAAGGATGAACAGTCCAACTAAAGTAAACACCGATCTTCATAACGGTGACTTAAAAAAAGAGATTTTCTCCTTTCAGTGATTCTACTTGTTAACATTAGGTGTCTTCAATAATGCTCAATCATAACTCAATTATTCACTTAATTATCTCATTAAATTTAACACTCATATTTTAACACTTTTGAGTCTAGAGCCATATCCCAGGCGAGTTCATTTAACACTGTATTTTTTGCTGTGTACCTTAACCTTTAAAAGAAACGGTACATATATGTACCTTTTAATGCTTGGGAACATATTATGTACCTTGAGGTCCAATAATAAGCCCTTAGGGGTATAGAGGTGTTCTGTTTCTTTGCAAATAAAGCATATCAGGGCTACAAAGGCAACTTGCTCTGCAGCGTTGCAGACACGAACAGGAAGCAACTACACAGGAAGCAGCACTGTCGGTGGCCCTGCGGTTATCATGTGTAATATTCAACCATCTGTTCATCGGACAAATATTACATCTCGTCCGCTGAGCCACGTTCTGACTTGACTGCTCTCTTTTCAACTCTTCCAATTACGGTAATATATTTTACATTCTATATATTATTTATTGAAACATAAGGTTTTAATTGAGAGAGTAAAAGAAAGTTCCATATCTTTTAAATCTTTTTTTCCATAAACGTTTCTTATTAATTTGATATAAGCTTCCTTTTCGCTGCACATTTAGACACTTGCAACAGTTCATTTATTTACACAAAGTTTGATTTTACGCGATCAATCTGTTTTGCAGTTCCTGAATCTGTTGTTTTCGGTTGCAAATTGCTGTTCACTGGCTTGCAGTGCTTTTGGCCGCATTTGTGCTCAAAAAAACGTGCCAAAAGTGTAAGCATGGAAAAATGGAAGTTAGAAGAATACAGATCCTATTTATTTTGAGTAAGCATGAAGCTGCAGTTTATGGAATGCCAAAGCTGACTAAATTAAAAATAAATAAATACATAAATAAATATATGAAGAAATGTAAAAAAAAGCAAAAATACATAAATAAATACAAAAATAAATATACAAAGAAATGTAAAAAAGTGCAAATAAATCAGTATTTATACTTTTATTTCCATATTTATGTATGTATTTTTCCACACATTTATTTATTTATTTATACATTTATTTATTTCAACTTTTATTTATTTCCACATTTATTTCAGTATTTATGTTTTTATGTCTACATTTATTTATTTCTATATTTATCTAGTTCCACATTTCATCATTTCCACATTTATTTATTCCAACATTTATTTCTCCGTATGTTAATGAGGGGGGGGGGGGGCGTGTTCAGACTTTAGCAATCGAGCTCAGAGTGGTAGTGGTGAAGCTTTGAGGCCACAGTGACACCTTGTGGTGTGTGACCAAACGAACCGCAAGAGCTGTGTAGGCAATATTACATTTTAAGTCATGTATTTCACCCTAAAAATTGATCTTCACTAATATATAAAAAATTATATTCACTAAAGAAAATATATAACATTGGCCTAGTGGTTTTCGGATATAATAGTCGGATATTATGTTATATATTATCGGATATCAATTTTCATCAACCCGCGCATCACTGGTGGACATGTACACTCTGTGCATGCGGTGTGAAACCGGTGTTAGGGTTAACGTTTCTTTCTTTCTTTTTTTTACAGTTTCTTCAAACTGGTGGACAGGATATACAGTGATGGGTTTTTGTACCTGTAAAAGGTGATGAAGCATGTACATGCACACACAAACACACACAGACGCACACAAATATAAAAAGTGTAAAACTAGGCGTAAATATTTGCGCACTGTATGGACAATCATGATGTTAACACTGTTGCCAGCAATTTACTGTTAATTGTACAGTTCTTTAATGTAATCTACAGATACTGTAATGTTACTGTAAAAATGCACTAAAACTCGAGTTGCAGACTGGCTTAAATTGACCAACTGTCATTTAATGTATTAAAGGGGTCATGAACTGGCTTCTTAAATTTTACTATATTGTTGTCTGTGGTCAACTTATGACATCCGCTTGGTTTTTGCATTCAAAAACATCAAAATGAATAAGTAATAGGCTATTTTCTACCCTAGTTTTGAGCTTAGCTGATAAACGCTGGGTTTTTATGGGCGTTCGCATTGACTTGGAAGTAAACACCCACTGCTGTGAGTGGAGAACAGTTTTGCATATTATAATGAGTTTCGACTCACCCGTCGATGTACTTGGGGGATATTGTTTTGAAAATGTCCAATGTGTTAAAATGGCAACCGGAATGATTCGCCCAAACATGTTCGACCCAGAGTCCGTGTGTTGCACCATTCCTGTCAGATCCAATATAGACGGCACAGCACCGTTCTTTACTCTTTATCGGTCTGCAAATCAAATCTTGTCTTGTCTCGGTCTTGTTTTGTCTTGTTTACAAAACAATCCTCAGTGAAATACAGCGAACAGACGGACAATGTTTTACCTCATCAGCTGGAACGTCATTAAAAATAAAGTTTATCCATGCAGTCCTATTGGAATCCAGAGGAAGCATATGCAGCTTCCACAATCAGGCACTGCACAATATTTTGTATTGCTTGGTAGATCGATCCGGTTTGTCATCACGAGGTAGGCCTATGCTATTTAGCTATACGTGTAATGCGCGAATCGGTGGGCGGGGCTAACGGCCATGTTGAAGTAGGCATTGATTTTCTTTTGCGGGGGTGGTGTTTTATCCTCTTTGACGTCATAGTTCCCCACTTTGAAAAACGAGTCGCTGAAGCTGGTGTCAATAAAAGCTTTTATTGGACTAACAAGGACGTTTACAGTTCTGAAACTTACAGGATATTCTTATAATATGATGACCTCTTGATGTCAAAAGCTCAAGTTTCTCAGTTCATCACCCCTTTAACTAAAATTGAAAATATAAAACTCACACACAATGTTAGTGAGCTAAGCCTCTACATGATGAATATATTATCATCAATCAGTTTATAGGATCTGATTGCATTTTCTTTTGCTGTTCTCAACATAACAATCAGACACAACCAAGCCAGACTGATCTCATGAAGTAGCGTGTGTATGACACGGCAATTCGTATTTCCATTTTTGGCGTGCTATCAACACGAATCGCTTTTCAGCGTGTTTATGAACGCCGTTGACTTAACATATAAATATACGTATGACTTACCTCAACCCCGTCCCTAAACCTACCCGTCACTGGGGTTAATGGCATTTATGACTGTTCCCTTACCATCCTAGGAAAGAAAAAGATAGCTCCCCAGATGCAGATGTACATTTTGCTTCAGTTTTGCTCGGACATTTGACGGCGTGTACAGACACGCGGAATTACGCGGACGTTAATAGCGTAGACATACATTCATACACGCGGATACACGCGGATAGATCAAAATGCGTAGAGATAACACCTGACTCGAAAGTGGCGTGTATGTTTACGCAAAAGTCATGATGTCATGTTGACCAAGCAGAGAACAGTAAATGTTAAAAAGTCAAGAGCCCAACTAAAGCAAATGCTTATCACCATAATGGTGTCATCAAACCAAACAATTTATTTTCAATAAATCATCATCTTAACCTCTGTTAATTCTCAATAAGAACTTCTGTAGACGTCTGACAGAAATAAAGTCAATCTGATTAGTAATAAGTGAAGCTGGTAATGCTGTTTGTGGAGTTGTTTAATCAGATCTTGAGGAATTTCATGTATTTTCTCTTCAGTTGATTTCTTGTGTTTCTCTTTTCTTCAGTGATTCTGCTTGTTAACAGCAGGTGTTAATCAATAATGTTCAATCATTATTCAATCAATTAATTATCTCATTAATACCAACACTGAGATGTGTTACATTTAACTGTCATGATTCTGCCTTAATGTCCTTGATTTTCCCTAGTTGTGAGGCAGGATCATGACAGAATCATGTTTTGTGTACAAGCGCATGGCCAATTGTTTGGGCCATGTGCTTGTGTTGTCTTGTTACGTTACCCCGCCCCCTTGTTATCCCCGTCTTGTCATTATTTTCCAGTCAGTTTCACCTGTCCTTGTCATTAGTGTTCCCCTATTTAATCCCCTTGTGTTTGCTGTCCTGTGCCGGTTCATTGTGAAACTTTGTGATTCATGTCTGAATGGTCGTCTAAACATTGTCATCCTAGTGAGTATCTTGTCAAGTGTATTGTCTTCATACAAGTTCTGATTCTTCGTTTGCTGTTTTGTTTTCCATCAAGTCATTATATAGTTTTTATATCCTGTTCCAGTCCTGTTTTACCCCCTCGTGGGTTTTGTTTTCCCTGTTTTTGTCTATTAATAAATCTTGTGTTAACGCACACTGTCTGCGCTTGGGTTCATCCTTCACATCGTGACATTAACAGCCTGTAGTGTGCACACTGAGCAGTGTTCAGTTGATCTGGGCAAACCCACGTGGGCCTACATGGAAACCGTGGACAAAACTGGCTGGGCCCTAGTTAGATAGCCCAGGTCAAACCCATGTGGGCCCCACATGGCTGTGCTGGCTGGGCCCTGTTAACAGGTTAATGTCACGTTTCCCATTCCATGACTAGTAAAATAATTGCAATGTATTCGTAAAATTGCGTAATCCGCAGGGTGATGGACACGGAGATGGGCAAAAAGGCTGGTGGCTACACATTCTGTAGTGCCACATCGCGTCTAGGACAACTCGAGGTATCGCACACGCGCACAGTTTATGGCCAGCAGTAGGCTATTCTTGTAGGCTTCTTCTATGTTTAAGGAAATTAACATAATGTCTAAACTATGTTATGATTGTACTGTATAATTAAATACATAGTTGCTGAGTCTGTGATCTGAACACTTTACCTCAGAGCATCCATTAACTGAATGAATTGAGAATATCACCTGAAAATCCGATAGCCTATCATCAGCAGTTTTCATTCAAGCAGCTGATTTCTGTAAATTAATGTAAAACTACTGTAAATGTACAGTACATTGCAGCACAGGGTGAAGTCATTTACGATGATTTGAGACAAATTTAATGTAAATTTAATATAAAACTATGTAAATGGTGCTCTGTGTCTCGGCAGGATTTTGAACAAGAGCTGTTTCTGGGCGCCGCAGACAAACGCCGAAAGGCACCACTGGTGTGTGTACACTCGAAGAGAAAATGTGTTCGAATTTTAAAGGACAGAGTGTTTCACCCTCTCGCTCAGACGACATTCTCCTCAGAGTAGCTGCATGGCCCTGGCTGCGTCTTCTTGTTTGATAGGTGTCAGCGGGTGCAATCCAGCCACCTGAGAGCTCAACCAGTTACTCACGCTGGAGTATTTACATGTCATGTTATCATAACAGTCCTATTCATTTTAAACATTGTGGTTATCGCCAATACCGGTATATTGCCACACTCTACAGCATGGGTCAAATGTTTACAAACCCACGATTTGCGCCCGACAACAGCGTCAAAATGTTCAGCGTCTGTCTTTTCTATGGTCTTTTTGCTGCTACAGCCGCTTTGTTGCTGTTGTTACTCTCATTCGCAATCTGACACACAAGTGGCAGGCAGGCAGTATGGTGAGAAAAACAAAACGCGTGCTTTGGAAATGCGCAAACGGATGTTACGTGAGGACGTGGAGACTGTCAAAATAAAGGTATCTCATATTGCTATTTTGTGTGTGACATCGATGCATCTTATCATTAGACGTTTGATCAATGCATCGATCCATATCAATGTATCGTTACACCTCTACTTATTACTAACCAGACTGACTTTATTTCTGTCACATGTTTATAGAAGTTCTTGTTGAGAATTAACAGAGGTTTAGATGTCACCATTATGCTGATCAGTATTTGCTTTAGTTGGGCTCGTAATCACCCAGTTATTTAATTCAATTATCATTTGAATAAACTCTTAATTTTCTTTTTGACTCCAAGAATGGTCTTGTTCTTAGTTGTCTGATTGTACTTATTTTTGAAGCTTTAGAGTTTAAAGATGTAACACAATACATGATAAATGTGTAAACTGACATGATTTGATCAGAAATAACAGTTGATAAGTAGAAGAGGTAAGCAAATCTCTGCCTACGGCGTAAATAAAATTACCACAGAACGTTAAAATTCTGTGTGAGGAATAAACATCCAATATCTCTGTTGGTCTGCTTACAGATGTGTTTGTTTCACCGCGATTGCAGTGGTTATCATAGGGGGAACCTGTTTGATATACAACATTTCGAGACCCTCTGATGAGTGCTATGCTAAAGCAGCAGTGGCAGCGGATGCTGAGGTTTGCTCTAAGATCGGGAGGTACGATTACAAACAGCATCATTTATGTATCTGGGAGAGCTATTGCAACATTATTGCAACAGCTATTGCAACATTCAAGTGTTGTTTGCTTGAATTTACACAGAGCTCTTTGTGTTTGCAGGGACATGTTGAAGCGTGGTGGTTCAGCAGTTGATGCTGCTATTTCTGCTCTGCTGTGTGTGAGTCTGTTTAATGCCCACAGCATTGGCATTGGAGGAGGAGTGGTTTTCACCATATACGATGCATCAACAGGTGGGACTTGAGACCTAACCAGACTCCCACAAAATGTATAGTACACTTATTAAAGGAACAGTTTCCCTGGAGCAGCTTGAGATGAAGTGCCACGACAAAGTGCGATCATAATGATCTTAGTTCTTGTATTAAGTCAAGTCAAGTCATCTTCATTTATATAGCGCTTTTAACAATGGAGATTGTTTCAAAGCAGCTTTACAGAGACAAACATGTGGGTACATATCATGCTTTTAAATCATTCATTTTTACTAATAAATCATACATTTGTGGTCTATATAAAGCATAACTGCAATGGTTGGGTCTGAATTCCTCATTATTATAGCTCCGCTAGCTCCACAGGCCCCTTTTCTACCCCTTTCCTGATGTGCTTCTGTGAGCAAGTCGTTTCGAAGTGGCCCCTTTAAATAAAAAGGAGTTCCGTCTTTCCCCGCCTGCTTTCCAGGTCACTGAGTTCACGGTCGGTTCAACTCCCCGCGTTCGGCCATTATTGTAGTTTGATTAGAGATATACGATTATATACTATAGCTTCAAAGAACATTTTTATTCACACGTTAACAAAACGTCAACAACGGAAGACTTGTCCATCAAGCCTTACATATTCGAGCCAGAGCGAGCGAGTTGAAAAAGACGACGACGAACCTGCAGAACGTCTTCTTATGGATGTATTGTTATGGAAGTTAACTATGTTGTGTTATTAGTGAAAGTCGACTATTTCTCTTGTTAAAACAAGCACACTGACAAGATAAATGACTGCGGTCTGATCTTACCACTAAAAATCTGTATTGATAATACTATGATAGCTTACGTTTAGAAAGCGTCAGAAAACACAGCAGCTAAATGATGGAAGGAATTTACCCCTCATACAGACGAAGTCGATCGGCAAACCCTTCTGTATACTGGCGGAGGTTGTTGAAGTGGGGATCCTTGAAGTGCTTCAGGTCACTACATCCAACAACCGAACATTTTGACTTGCCTTCTCGTAACTTCTGCATCATTGAGCTCGGACTACAAAATCGGAGCGAGAAATAATAATGGCGGATTGCTCGAAGTGTTGGACCGGTAGTCAATGTCCTTATTTGGCAGTTCCGCTGCAAACACTGTGACGTAATTGTTCAAAAAACGTAATAGAGAACAGAAAAATCTGAACAGGTTGAAAAATATGACCAAAACAGAATATAAAGATATAAACAAAGCACCTGAAGAGAATAATTTCATCTTTTCTGTACTTATAAAGACTCCAAATATACAACAAAATGCATTTAAGGGCTAAAAAAGTGGATTTTGAATGATATGTGCATTTTAAGGTAACATAGATCCCACATAGCAACATTGTTTCAGCCCAGATCCGGCTCACATCTGGCACTTGTGGGATACGGATCTGGCCCACATGCAGCAATGAATGACGGCCCCCACACCTGTTTGCCTGATCTGGGCCACAAGCAGGCCATAGCAATGCCACATGTCAGCCAAGAGCAAAGAAATAAACCAGAACTGGACTTTATCTGAGCCACAAAATCTGTGTATATTAAACATGGAGTCATCTCAAACTTAATAAGCCTGTTACAACAGTCAAATAAAATCTAAAGTAAAAAATGTAGGTTCAAGAGCCCAACTAAAGCACACACTGATCACCATAATGGTGACTTAAAAATAGTGATTTTCTCCTTCTGTGATTCTGCTTGTTAACATCAGGTGTCTTCAATAATGCTCAGTCATCACTTAATTAATCACTTAAATATCTCATTAACTTTTATCACTGGAGTTTGTGCTGTGTTCCTTTTAGGAGAACATTCTGGGAACCAAAATAAAACTACCCACTGAAAACATTATTAGAAATTGATTTTAATGTTCCCAGAACGTTTTTAGAACAAAACATTTCTAGCTGGGATGTTTACTGTGGTGAGCAGGACAAGTGAGGGCTGCGGGAGAACGGCGCGAGTTATGTTTACTGTGGAGAGCAGGACGAGACTGAGGGCCATGGGAGAACGGCGCGAGTCATGTTTACTGTGGCGAGCGGGACGAGTGAGGGCCGCGGGAGAACGGTTTGAGTCATGTTTACTGTGGCGAGCAGGACGAGACTGAGGGCAGCGGGAGAACGGCGTGAGTTATGTATACTGTGGCGAGTAGGACCGAGTAAGGGCCGCGGGAGAACGGCGTGAGTCATGTTTACTATGGCGAGCAGGACGAACCTGAGGGCGGCGGGAGAACGGCGTGAGTCATGTTTACTGTGGCGAGCAGGACGAACCTGAGGGCCGCGGGAGAACGGCGTGAGTCATGTTTACTGTGGCGAGCAGGATGAGACTGACGGCCGCGGGAGAACGGCGTGAGTCATGTTTACTATGGCGAGCAGGACGAACCTGAGGGCCGCGGGAGAACGGCGTGAGTCATGTTTACTGTTGCGAGCAGGACAAGACTGAGGGCAGCGGGAGAACGGCGTGAGTCATGTTTACTGTGGCGAGCAGGACGAGACTGAGGGCCACGGGAGAACGGCGTGAGTTATGTTTACTGTGGCGAGCAGGACGAGACTGAGGGCCGTGGGAGAACGGCGTGAGTCATGTTTACTGTTGCGAGCAGGACGAGACTGACGGCCGCGAGAGAACGGTTTGAGTCATGTTTACTGTGGCGAGCAGGACGAGACTGACGGCCGCGAGAGAACGGTTTGAGTCATGTTTACTGTGGCGAGCAGGACGAGACTGACGGCCGCGAGAGAACGGTTTGAGTCATGTTTACTGTGGCGAGCAGGACGAGACTGAGGGCCGCGGGAGAACGGCGTGAGTTATGTTTACTGTGGCGAGCAGGACGAGACTGAGGGCCGCGGGAGAACGGCGTGAGTCATGTTTACTGTTGCGAGCAGGACGAGACTGACGGCCGCGAGAGAACGGTTTGAGTCATGTTTACTGTGGCGAGCAGGACGAGACTGACGGCCGCGAGAGAACGGTTTGAGTCATGTTTACTGTGGCGAGCAGGACGAGACTGAGGGCCACGGGAGAACGGCGTGAGTTATGTTTACTGTGGCGAGCAGGACGAGACTGAGGGCCGTGGGAGAACGGCGTGAGTCATGTTTACTGTTGCGAGCAGGACGAGACTGACGGCCGCGAGAGAACGGTTTGAGTCATGTTTACTGTGGCGAGCAGGATGAGACTGATGGCCGCGAGAGAACGGCACGAGTCATGTTTACTGTGGCGAGCAGGACGAGACTGAGGGCCGTGGGAGAATGGCGCGAATCATGTTTACTGTGGCGAGCGGGACGAGTGAGGGCCGTGGGTGAACGGCGCGAGGCCGGTGGCGGGATTACTGATGAGCGACACCTGTGAGACGCACCGGTCTCGTATCTCTCATGGAGGAGCGGGAATTTTCTTAGCAGTGTTAAAACTCACATCAACCGATCACTTGTTTTCTGGGAGTGAGATCCCACCCTCTATGGGTGGGTTGAGAAAATGCGGGACAGCCTCCACTACAGGATGTAGTCTTTAATCTCTGGCCAAAAAATCCTCTAATGACACAAATTGACAATTTTTGTGTCATCTGAGGATTTTTTCTAGACAAAAAAATACATAAATCTCTCATCTCAGGGGAACATGAGGGTGGAAAGCACGGTAATTCAAAAATGCTATAGGTTTTCTACTAAAGCAAAGCTTAGTGCTAATTCATGAAGTGTCCCTTTCAGAATTAGCGTATGAATCTCAACAATGGTCACAATCCAACAAAATGCCTCATGTTGCAGTGCATGCTGGAAACCAACAATCAAAACTCATCCATGGCTCCCATCATACATTGCAGTATGAATAAATGATGCAATTGAAATATCATTTTATTTTCATTAATTGTTCCTGTTTGCTTTTATTTTGCTATTGTTTTGATGTGACTGGTAGCTTGTTTTGTGATGTTCAGAGTTTAACTGTTTGTAATTAGTTTGGTTATTGTTTATTCATTGAATTCTACTTGGCAAATCAATGCAACCCAGACAATTAGCAATTAGGCCACCCCTTATTGTGTTACATGTTGTTTCATGTTTTCACCCCCAGGAAAGGTAGAGACAATTAATGCAAGAGAAACTGCTCCAATGAGTGCTTCAGAGAACATGTTTGGCGAACACCCAGAGAAAGCAAAACCAGGTAAACTGCAGTGATCTCAAAATCCAACATGGTTTGGGAATTACAGCACTGACCAAGCACATCAGTCCAATTTTAACCATTGAATGACCATATCACTCCTCTGTGTTTGTAATGATTAACAGGGTTGTTCATAGCTGTGCCAGGAGAACTGCGTGGTTACGCACTGGCACACAAAAGGCATGGGAGACTGCAATGGGAGGAGCTGTTTGAGCCCAGTATAAAGCTGGCAGAGGAGGGTTTTCGACTGAGCAGGTCCTTGGCCAAAGCCATCAATTGGAACAAGGACATAATTATGAATGATACAACATTGTGGTAAGAATTAATAATCTGTGATAATAGTGTGATCTAGTTTGATCATTTGATCTAGTAAAAACAACAGGCACACACTTTCTCTGTGACAACTTCGTAGTTGAAGCTAACATGATGAAGTGGTCTGATTCACTTACCTCATTTGAAGTGATTATTGTAGGGATAATTTCTTACGCATCTAATCCCATGCCTCTAAAATATAATTTTAGAGTTAGTTGTCACAGTCACGTCTGCACCGTTCTGTCTGCGTCTCCTACACTACACTTCCCATGATCCTCTCGTCTGCACACCTGAACTCACTCCCTCATCAGTCTCCTGTTCATCGTCATGTTCATCTGTTTCACCTGTTTTCACCCCATTATGTTTGATTCCTCTGTGTATTTAGTTCGCTCTGTTTGAGTTAGTCCTCGTCGGTCAATGTCTAATGTTAGCCTGTGTTGCACCCGTATTCCTGTCTTCTCGCCTGTATTTTGTATTAAATGTGATCGCCATTGCTAATTTGGACTCCTCTGGTTCCTCTGCCTGCACCACACCCTGAAAGATTGACCGACCCCCAAAGAAGTTTCAGCATGGGGATTCTCCTCACCCCAGCTCATTCTTTATTCAACATTTTCCAAGACGGTCGTGTAATCGAGGAGTATGTCGCCAGTGTCCTGGAACTCTCTGCTGGGGTAAGCTAGTCAGATGATATCTTAAAAACTGTCTTTTGGCTGGGTTTGGATAATCATCTGTACCAGCAAGCCCCAGCAGCAGCGTTTCCAGGAACCCTCGCCAGTTACCTGGACCATGTGTTGTGGTTGAGTGGGTTGGTTGGTGAGGCTGAAGATAACAGCACCACTCAACCACACACACCTACCATCTTCACCTCACCAGCCATCATCGCCTTCCAGTCTGAACCCTCTTAATCGCTGGCTCCGTCCAGCCCCGCCGAGCCTGAACCCGCCTCATCGCTGGTTCCCTCCAGCCCCGCAGAGCCCGAGACCGTCCAGCCTGAGCCCGAGACCGTCCAGCCTGAGCTCGAGACCGTCCAGCCTGAGCCCGAGACCGTCCAGCCTGAGCCAGAGACCGTGATCCCACCCAGCCTCCCTCTCCCACCTCCTCCTATCCATCATGTCTTCACCGTTTCTCCACCACTGCTTGGCAGCCCCACTGCTTCCCCGGAGTGCTTCGAGGAGGTAGAATCGTCGTGGGTCTGCCAGCCACCAACTCCATCTGGGTCAGGGGATCCCCGGTCTCCTCCTCGGACCTCCTCGACCTGGACTCTGCCACAGCCTTCCGGTCCATCACCTCCACCATGGCTCTTACCTCCCTCACCCCCGCCGTGGCCCTTCAGCCCACCAGCTCCTCCAGGCTTCCTCGTCCCCCCGGTTCCACCTTGGTCCTTCATCAACCCACCCTCGCTCTGGGACTACCCTCCTCTGGCTGTGCCTCGTCACTCCATCCTTCGGGCTCTGTTGGGCTCTTCTCTCCCTCCGGCTTCACCTTGGTCCTCGGTTGCTCTGGCTCCGCCGCGGTTTTCATGATCCCCGTCTTGGCCTCGGTCGCCGGCGCAATCAGTGTCACCATGTCTCTCCAGCCTTTCAACATCGCCCTGTCTCCTCGGCTCTATGGTTTCACCCTGGTCTCCTCAGTCACCTGCTCCGCCTCCATCAGTCGGCTCCCTGGAGTCGTCTGTCCCGCCTCCTCCATGGCTCCTCCCTCCGTCGTCTCCACCATGGACGCCTGAGGGTCCATCTGCTCCGCCCTGGTCTCGCCCTCAGCCTGCTCCGCCCTGGTCTCGCCCTCAGCCTGCTCCGCCTTGGTCTCGCCCTCAGCCTGCTCCGCCCTGGTCTCGCCCTCAGCCTGCTCCGCCCTGGTCTCGCCCTCAGCCTGCTCCGCCCTGGTCTCGCCCTCAGCCTGCTCCGCCCTGGTCTCGCCCTCAGCCTGCTCCGCCCTGGTCTCGCCCTCAGCCTGCTCCGCCCTGGTCTCGCCCTCAGCCTGCTCCGCCCTGGTCTCGCCCTCAGCCTGCTCCGCCCTGGTCTCGCCCTCAGCCTGCTCCGCCTTGGTCTCGCCCTCAGCCTGCTCCGCCCTGGTCTCGCCCTCAGCCTGCTCCGCCCTGGTCTCGCCCTGAGCCTGCTCCGCCCTGGTCTCGCCCTCAGCCTGCTCCGCCCTGGTCTCGCCCTCAGCCTGCTCCGCCCTGGTCTCGCCCTCAGCCTGCTCCGCCCTGGTCTCGCCCTGAGCCTGCTCCGCCCTGGCCACGCCCTCGACCTGCTCCACCCTGGCCACGCCCTTGACCTGCTCCACCCTGGCCACGCCCTCGACCTGCTCCGCCCTGGCCACGCCCCGCTCAGCCCTCAGATCGTCCCGGGAGTTCTGTCACAGTCTCATCTGCACCGTTCTGTCTGCTTCTCCTACACTACACTTCCCATGATCCTCTCGTCTGCACACCTTCCTCGTCCCCCCGGTTCCACCTTGGTCCTTCATCAACCCACCCTCGCTCTGGGACTACCCTCCTCTGGCTGTGCCTCGTCACTCCATCCTTCGGGCTCTGTTGGGCTCTTCTCTCCCTCCGGCTTCACCTTGGTCCTCGGTTGCTCTGGCTCCGCCGCGGTTTTCATGATCCCCGTCTTGGCCTCGGTCGCCGGCGCAATCAGTGTCACCATGTCTCTCCAGCCTTTCAACATCGCCCTGTCTCCTCGGCTCTATGGTTTCACCCTGGTCTCCTCAGTCACCTGCTCCGCCTCCATCAGTCGGCTCCCTGGAGTCGTCTGTCCCGCCTCCTCCATGGCTCCTCCCTCCGTCGTCTCCACCATGGACGCCTGAGGGTCCATCTGCTCCGCCCTGGTCTCGCCCTCAGCCTGCTCCGCCCTGGTCTCGCCCTCAGCCTGCTCCGCCTTGGTCTCGCCCTCAGCCTGCTCCGCCCTGGTCTCGCCCTCAGCCTGCTCCGCCCTGGTCTCGCCCTGAGCCTGCTCCGCCCTGGTCTCGCCCTCAGCCTGCTCCGCCTTGGTCTCGCCCTCAGCCTGCTCCGCCCTGGTCTCGCCCTCAGCCTGCTCCGCCCTGGTCTCGCCCTCAGCCTGCTCCGCCCTGGTCTCGCCCTGAGCCTGCTCCGCCCTGGTCTCGCCCTCAGCCTGCTCCGCCCTGGTCTCGCCCTGAGCCTGCTCCGCCCTGGTCTCGCCCTCAGCCTGCTCCGCCCTGGTCTCGCCCTCAGCCTGCTCCGCCCTGGTCTCGCCCTCAGCCTGCTCCGCCCTGGTCTCGCCCTGAGCCTGCTCCGCCCTGGCCACGCCCTCGACCTGCTCCACCCTGGCCACGCCCTTGACCTGCTCCACCCTGGCCACGCCCTCGACCTGCTCCGCCCTGGCCACGCCCCGCTCAGCCCTCAGATCGTCCCGGGAGTTCTGTCACAGTCTCATCTGCACCGTTCTGTCTGCTTCTCCTACACTACACTTCCCATGATCCTCTCGTCTGCACACCTGAACTCACTCCTTCATCAGTCTCCTGTTCATCGTCATGTTCATCTGTTTCACCCCATTATGTTTGATTCCTCTGTGTATTTAGTTCGCTCTGTTTGAGTTAGTCCTTGTCGGTCAATGTCTAATGTTAGCCTGTGTTGCACCCGTATTCCTGTCTTCTCGCCTGTATTTTATATTAAATGTGATCGTCGTTGCTAATTTGGACTCCTCTGGTTCCTCTGCCTGCACCACACCCTGACATTAATAAGGGAGGTCTGAGCCACTGATAGCAGACTAATGCTGGGTACACACTTAACAACTTGCTAAAACTTTCTAAGATTGACTGTTTTCATTGACTGTAGCATATTTTAAACACTTATGCTGCATGAATACATAATGAGCTTATGTTCAGAGGTGATCTGTTTATCACCATTGCTGAGAATAATACATTAATTCCTGATGCTGTGTGTGACCACATAACATGTTTTTTTTTATCTTTTGGAATTCATTTAAAAGGCTAAAATGCTTTAAAATGACAGTGCTGTTATAATCCATAAGGTAAATTCAACTCAGACAGTATGCACAGTGATTCAGGTAAAAAAAAATGATTATGTTAAAACACAACCAACACCATCAGATCACATTTTCGATTTGTTCATCTGGCAGTTATAACTCACATACAGCAGTCAAACACAATCTAAAGTTAATGATTTAAAGGTCAAGAGCCCAACTAAAACACACACTGATCACCATAATTAAAATTATGGTTTTCCAGATCATTTTAAACCAGATGTCTTTTCTCTTCAGTGTATTTAATCTAAGACTATCTGAAACTACTCCATTTTTAATATACACAGATTTTGTGGATCAGATAAGGTCCAGTTCTGGTTTATTTCTTTACTCTTGGCTGGCATGTGGCATTGCTATGCAGAGGTGTAAAGTCCAGGTTCAGAAAGTAAAAGTCCTCCTCAGTATTTTGTTCCGATCACCTGGATTTTCTAATTCAGACAGGAGAGAGAACTAATTAGGGAAATCAGCTGACTGAGTTCATGGGTGGAATAAACATATGGCAGGACTTTTACTCTTTGGCCCCTGGATTTCCTACCTCTGAAGATTTACACAGTTTACTACTTCCTATATACCTGAGCATTCAGGATTGTGCAATATATCATACAGAAGGTGATGGACATGTTGGGGGGTAAAGAAGTGCTGCATTTTATCATTTAAACATAACTTTTCATGAAAATTCTATACTCCAAGATTGCTGCCACCATATGATGTCATAATATGCAAATTAAATGAAACAATTTAATCCCCACACAAACTTTGGGTCATCCTTAATATTTGTCTAATTTACAGCAGGTATCTATCTTTTTTCACTTTTAAGATATAGCCTTTTGAAATTGAGATGTCAAAATCGAACATTTTAGGAAAAAACCTCTGGCGCCTAAAGGGTTAATCATCGCTCAATTATTCACTTAATTATATCATTAACGTTAACACTTTTCAGTGTTCATTTAACACTAGGGATTTTGCTGTTTAATTAGTGAAATCAGATGACTGAGTTCATGGGTGGAATAAACGTATGGCAGGACTTTTACTTTCTGACTCCTGCACTATACACCTCTGACCTTAGTAACTTTAAACTTTAACATAAAGTATGCCATATGAGATGTGTCTTATAAACACAGCTAGTTTGTAACATGTGAAATGTTGTGATCCTACACATTTTTGATGTGTTCCAAGTAGCTTTAACCTTTTATAGGCTAATATTGTCTCATTTTTGTTCTTCTTTTTTTCCAGTGAAGTGTTTTGCGACTCAAATAATAACCCATTGAAGGAAAATGACATTATAAGATTTCCCAAACTAGCTCTCACCTATAAGAAGATCGCAAAAGAAGGACCAGATGTCTTTTATAATGGCTCATTGACTCAGGCTATAGTGGATGATATCAAGGCTGCAGGTTATTTCATGCATACATTTGACTCATGTCTAAGTGACTTAAAGGAGTAGTTCACTTTAAAAAAAACTTTTGCTGATAATTTACTCACCCCCATGTCATCTAAGATGTCCATGTCTTTCTTTCTTCAGTTGAAAAGAAATTAAGGTTGTTGATGAAAACGTTGCAGGATTTTCTTCCTATAATGGACTTCAATGGGGTCCAAACGGTTCAAGGTCCAAATGAGAGTTTCAGTGCAGCTTTTTAAACGACACCAGACGATGAATAAGGGTCTTATCTAGTGAAACGATCGGCCATTTAAAAAATAAATAAAAAAGTTTAAGTTTTATAAGCACAAATGGTCACCTTGCTCTGTTCTGTGATGAGCGTTCGTGACTCTCCTGTTCAAACTTGTTCATCAAAATGAACAAATCTTTTTTCGAGTCATGACTCGAAGGGTCCTAGACAAGACCCTTATTCATCATTCTGGTGTCGACATGGGGGTGAGTAAGTTATCAGCAAAATTTTTTTTTAAAAGTCACATACTCCTTTAATATGATCAAAAGTATGCAAATCTGTCTGAATATTTGTTTCTCCAGGAGGCATTATAACTCGTGAGGACCTACTGAATTATAAGCCGGTGCTGAATGAGTATGCATTAAACTTTACAGTGGGGAAATACATATTTCATGCTCCTGATGCTCCATTCGGTGGACCTGTACTCGCTCTGATACTCAACATACTCAAAGGTCAGTGTGTGTGTGCGCGTGTGTGTGTAACAAGTGTTATTTATAAACACGCAGGACTTTTACCCTTGTGATACACAAGTAACAGACATACACAAATCGTATTAAAGTACAAAGACAGGGCTCCAGACGAACTTTTTTTACTAGGAGCGCTGTTGCCCCTGCCTGAAAATTTTAGGAGCACACCTTAAATCAGCTTGCAATGAAATTATTCAAATTTCCCCCAAAATAACTTTAGTTATTACCATTTATAATGTCTTAATATTATTATTTTTTTTAAGTAGCGAAAACATGTATATTGAGTAAAATAAATAACCAATAAAAATCCTACTGTTTACAATGGTATTATTATTTTATTTTTTGTTAAATAAGTGTTTAAATAAGAGTTTTCCAACATCTTAAAATTTTTCGTTTTAGCACAATCTTTAAAGGATGAACAAAAATGTGTTGGTCATCACATAAAAAATACAAAACAATAAAACATTTATACAGTATATGATATTATAGTTTTGAAGTGCTGGGAAAAATGTGTAGGCTACTTGTAAGCATTTGACTATTTCTGTCACATGATCATATTTATGGTTAGAGTTAAGTTACTACATTAGCCTAAATCCATGGTGAATGTTGCTGATTTGTGGATTGAAAGACTTCTATAAGTGTTTCTCCTGGTTTCCACATCAGCGCTGTTTGATCTGATATGGTTTATAACAGAACTCTGCGCCGAATCGGAGTGGTTCTCACTGGATCTCGTAGCGATGACGTTATTAATTCTGAGGCGAATTCAATGGATTTCTTCACTGGATCTCCTGGTAACAGTGAGTGAGATCGGCCCGCGACTGGCAAGTTCGGGGCTTTATTTTACTGTCATTGGTTCGGGGCGCTGCTGCTGCTCCATGGATATACATAAGAAAGGCTCTGCGCTGCTCTGTCTATTATTGGTCCAAACTAATAAACGCTCCGTAAAGCATTTATTTTCGTTCCACTTTTATTTTGTTTGCATTCTCTGCTAGGTAACGACTAACGAGTCGATAGATCGCTTATTGCTCAGACACACATAGGTTGTGATATTTGTCTCCGTCTTCTTCTCACAGACGTTTATGCGCGCTATTCTTGTCACAGATTCATTGACGCGCCCCTTGTTCCATGCTTAACCATGCGTTTAACGTGTGGCAAATTTACTGGTCCCACAGGTGCGACTAGATGTAAAATTCAGTCGCACACTATCAAATTTTGGCCACAAAATGCAACAATTTGGTCGCAGTCTGGAGCCCTAAAAGTTTATTTAGCAATTCAAAAACTATTCGCAGTAATATCCCAGACAGCAAACTGACATTGAATCAACGTGGAAACGACATCTCTCATGACATTGAAACAACGTTGATTTGCTCATCGAATTAACGTTGAACCAACGTCAGACGCGGCATTCTTCAAAGCTAAATGAAATCGAAAATTGGTTTGCTTTCATAACGTTGAAACAACACGTTGATTTCAAGTTGATTTTCCGTTAGTTTTGAAAGAATGACGCATCTGACGTTGGTTCAACGTTAATTCGATGAGCAAAACAATGTCAGATCAACGTTGTTTCGATGTCATATTTCCACGTTGATTCAATGTCAGTTTGCTATCTGGGATGCATGATCAAAAAGATAAAAACACAATAAATGTTATGTAGCTGGCTGATTCAGTTCGATGGCTAGGAGTAATAGCACAGTCTGGCGCCCCTGGTAACCAGTGAATTAACAAAGAGAGGCTATCACACGAATTACCCCACACATCTCACACGTGAGAATTACACAGCAAGAGCAGATGAAAGGTATAACCTAGGCGAACAGCCACAATAACAATCTCACTAAGCCAATAGAAATTTAAATAAGCAAGACAACAGTTATGCATTTGGCCAGAGTTTTTTTTAAAACACAGTCAACATCAAGTCACTCACGACCCCGCCCACTCGGCGCTCTTAGTACATATGGCAGGCGCTCACGGCGAAACAGCAGTAATCTGCAGTGACACACACAAGTCCCGGCTTCGGACGATTTGTAGTAGACTCTGAATGGCCAGCGGGGAAATCCGCAACAGTTGATCCTGGCTGCGAGACAGAGGAAGGGAAATGAGTTCTACATAAACGCACGTCAGTGTCCACTTGTTCGTACGTGATAAGAATTCACACTTCCCTTAATCAAGAGGAGTAGAGTGCTTTGATTTATTCTCTTGGTTGCCGTTGCGTCACAAATCATGTGACCTGCATAGCAACAAGCCGCCGCCATGTTTGAAGGGTAAAACAAACCGAAGGCAAAGCCAGAGGCAAATCAAAAAGGTATCTATTCACAGAAGTTTTGCTGTGGATTATGTCAGTTATGGATACTAACGGACTACTTTGTATTAATGATGAATGATATCTGTGCATGTCGGTGGTGAGAAGTGACTGTAATAAAACACTCATGGAAAATACTTTGTGACTTGCTAACGTTACATATCAGTGAAAGGCGCTAGCAGCTAGCTATATGAATTTATATCTTCTTCTTCTTATACATAATGTCTTATCAATATATAGACAGTCTCCTAGGGCCTACATTGACCAGGTATCACAGAAAGCTGTCGCTTGTAGGTTTAACATTACAATCTTGTCCCTATCGGCATCCAGCTGAGTCTTGGTAGAACAACCCAAAAGCACGGCCCACCTCATCAAATCCCCTAGTATAAACACCATGTGTACATACCATCCCAGACAGCAAACTGACATTGAATCAACGTGGAAACGACGTCTCTCATGACATTGAAACAACGTTGATTTTGCTCATCGAATTAACGTTGAACCAACGTCAGACGCGACATTCTTCAAAGCTAAATGAAAATCGAGAATTGGTTTGCTTTCATAACGTTGAAACAACGCATTGATTTCAAGTTGATTTTCCGTTAGTTTTGAAAGAATGACGCGTCTGACGTTGGTTCAACGTTAATTCGATGAGCAAAACCATGTCAGATCAACGTTGTTTCGATGTCATATTTCCACGTTGATTCAATGTCAGTTTGCTATCTGGGATGTGTCCTACATTTGCAGTCATTTTTAAATACCAATCAAGCATCGATTACATATTAACTATTTCATCTTTTTTTTTATTCATTAAAAAAAACTTTTCATTCAAAAGCACTGTGTTACAAAGTGGCAGTAATGAGCTCAGTCTGTCAGTGGCACAACTTGTACAATGTCAGTGAGGGACACAGTTTTTTTCAAAAGTCAAAAAAAGGCTAACTGCATAAATGTAGCCTATCTTATTCCCCACACAACTAATTAGTGCATTTCATTGTTGCTTATCGGTGTAGAGCTGCCGACCATTATGCATAGCAATGTCATAAAATAGCAGAAAATTGAGTGGCCATCTCTGCAGTGGTATTATTTTGTTATTCTTTGATTTGTCCCTCAATTTGTCCATTCATTTGAGATTACATTTCTATTTAGATTTATTTTAGACGCTTGTTTATCTTCCGCTTTCGTGTTGCTTAATGGCGGGCGCCATTAAGTTTCATGCAGCAGTGCATGCTGGGTTCCAGGATAGTATAAAACTCCCAGCATGCACTGCTGAGATTAAGATTAAAGTGCTAAATTTTGATATCTTTGTGTTTCTACAAGACTGTGTAGCTCTGTTTTTTTTTTTTGTTCATGTATGATGTGTTAATGAGTCGTAATTTATTGCTGTGGTTTCACGGTGGTGGTAATGTAACACTTTTGGTTGAGGATTAAACTCTGAATGAGTAAGAATGAATTCTTTAGTAAATGAACAGACAATATGATGATTTTCATATTTTGTAGTGATGTTACGTTCGTGAACGAATCGTTCTTTTTGAACAAATCTTTTAGGTGAACGAATCATTCTCGTTCACGTTATCCATTGACTCATATTTCTCGTTCACTGAAATTCCCCCTTCTACCACTGCGCGCCGCTATTGCGCGCATGCGCAGCTCAATGAACCGTGTAGCTCTGTGGCCCGTTTCATCTGTCAAAGACAAAGAGTGACTAAACCTCGAGCCAATAGCCTTCGAGTATGATACGAGGACGGAGCATGTGATTTGTTGAATCTAGTGAACGAATACGCCCTTTATTGAGTTGCTTTGAGTTTGAACGTGTCCAATGAACTGTTACATACATCTCGTTCGTGAATGAAAGAACCAGTTGTTTGAACGTCAAGATAATAATGACGACGAAGTTAACAGTGCAAGCTGATGGTTTAATTTAATAAAAGACAGCTTAAAATTTTCGTTTTTACTAAAATCTACAAACTACATCAGGTAATCTGCTAACTTCAATATGAGTGGCACCACTAGCACTGGTGTTGTTTTGTGTGCATTTTGTATTATTTATTTTTATTATTGTTGTTTTATGTTTCAACAGTTTTATAAAAAATAAATATATATGTCATGTCATGCACTTTTGTTTGTTTAAAAACTGTAAAACATAAAAAAAAAATAGAGTATTGATTATTTGCGTCACGTCATTCCAGCTCATTTGCGTCACGTGACTCACGTCAGCTAATAGCATTTCAGCTTGGGCTTAGAAGGCGCATGTTAGATTGGATTTGTTAGGTTGGATCTACTCTGCTGAATGAGTCTGAACGAGAGAGAGATCTCCCGTTCGTGAATGAATTGAACGAACTGGTTGCTATACCCAGTTCGTGTACCAGGTCGGCCATTCTGTCAATCTAGTTCATCAATCAGCAGAAAGTGAATGCAAAGCGCAGGTATCCGTACTGTGAACGCGCAATTCATAACTTACATACAGAAAATAACTCCTCGTTTAACTCGTTATGACCAAACAAATAAAATGTTAACTAGCCTGCCTAGTATGCAAACAGATTAAAAAACACTTGTGATTTGGTCATCCGAAAAGAGTGTAATTTAAAAGATAAAAAGAGTGTTGAGACTTTGATTGCTTATTTAGACTTATTTTATCAATTTAATGAGTAGCCTAGGGCACAATTTTTAATAAAGTCAAATCAGTTTTTATTTTGTAACAAGTAAATACGTTGTTAACACATTTTGCCGCACCTGCTGCTGATGTATATGGAAAAAAAAACCTGAACGAATCAGTGAACGAGTCTGAACGAATCATTTTGGTGAACGAACTAAAAATGAACGAGTCTCTGAAAAGAATCAAAATTTCCACCACTAATATTTTGACAAATCCAATCATTAATAAACTGTGTGTCTGCACAAGTGTGACAAGCAGAAAGTGTGCTACAGCATCAGGATACCAACTAAAGCAAACACTGATCTCTATAATGGTAACTTAAAACCAAACTTTTTCAATTAAACATCTCAACAACATCTTCTATAGATGTATGACAGAAATAAAGCCATACTGGTTAATAATAAGTGTAATAATGTGTAATGGCTGAAGTCAGTTGTAGTTCTTGTGTTTATCTATTTTCTGTTCTTGTTGTTCCTCTTTCCTTCAGTGATTCTGCTTGTTAACAGCAGGTGTTCATCACTAATGCTCAACAATCCCTTACATATTAGGGCTGGGCGATATATTGCGCGATATTGTTATGCGCATCTCGTCAGTAAAGCCGGTTCCTTGATTAGTAGTAAATCACCTTCACCTGCTTTCAGATGGAGGGGCATTTACTACAAAGAGCCGTAGTTCACTGACAAGCTGAGCCATATCGCATTAATATCGTGGATGTATCGCCAAAAACTTAGTGTTAAATTAACACACCTGGGAGTGTATATGAGTCCACACTCAAGAGTGTTAAAGTTACAGTATAACTGAGATTCTGCATAAATACCCAGAATTTGAGATATAATATAAAGTATTTTTGTAAAAAAAAAAAAAAAAGAAAAGAAAATGTGTCTTTTAGCCGCACACAGATATCAAGATTCAGTCAATGCCTCTCAACAATGGTGATGTGCAGAATATTCAATTAGGAGAAGTAAATTACATAGACAATTCAGATCATAATTTATTCATACCACAATGCATGATGGGAGCCATTAATTAATTGTGATTAATGGCGCTATGTCCGCCAGTAAATGCCTCTCCATCTGAAAGCAGGTGAAGGCGATTTACTACTAATTAGGGCTGTCAACGAATATTCTAAATTCGAATATATATTCGAATAGTTTTATAAAAAAGAAATTCGAAGGTGAAAATTAATATTCGAATTAAAAAAAAAACGCCCGCGGAAGCAGAGGCGTGGCTGTCTGCTTTGTGAGTGGGTGTGCACGCTGCCTGATTAGGGTTCAGGGACAGGTGTCGCACTGGCACAGCGTCACTCACAGCTGAAAGTTGATTTATATAGAAGATGGCAGAAAGTGCAGAGTCCAACTCGACCGCGGCAGAGAAAGTGATTTTAACCCCCCAAAATCTAAAAATCCATGTCTGGAAGTACTTTGGATTTTGGTCGGTAGATGGTAAAATTGTGGAGCCGCAAGATAAAGATGTATCCAAGCAATGTAAGATGCAGTTAGCATACCATTCGACCACTAGCAACATGAGGTCACATATCGAAAATGTGCACCCAAATGAGCATGGCATAATGTGTGGAACTCCAGCTAAACAGCATCTTGACACTTATTATGCACCGCCCGCCACAAACTCTTTGTCTGCACTACGACAAGAGGCCATCACGCAGAAATTAATTTTGTTCATTTGTAAGGACATGAGACCAATCAGTGTCGTGGATGGGGCAGGCTTCAGGGAGTTCTGTCAATCAATGAAACCGAGGTACCGTAGACTTCACCGTAGACTTCCATACGATTTCCAGGACGCATGCGTGAGAACTGAACTGAAGTAGTTAAAGAAGATCGCAATTCTTGCTTCGTGGAAATCGTATTGAAGTCTCGAGAGAGAGAGAGAGAGAGAGAGAGAGAGAGAGAGAGAGAGAGAGAGAGAGAGAGAGAGAGAGAAAGCAGCTGTACTGTGTATTCTGCTGGAAATGAGTATTGGGATTAATAATGCTCACTTAATGACCTAATTATCTCATAAACTTCAACACTGTTTCTTGTAACACTCTATAGATTCGACTCTGAGTAGTGTTGATTTAACTCTGGACATAACAGACTTTAACACGGTGCTTTTACGAGTAATATCTTTAGCTCATTCAAGGGCAATCTAATAATCAGTCTTTTCATTTCAGGTTACAACATCTCAAGCAGCAGTGTGTCCACTATAGAGAAAAAAACTTTGACCTTTCATCGCATGATAGAGGCGTTCCGCTTCGGTTTTGCCTACAAAAGTGAACTGGGAGACCCACAATATGAAAACATCACTGTGAGTTCAACCTGCACATATTTGTATACAGTAGCTTATGGATTCCTTGGGAAGTTTTTTTGTTGGTAGTATGGGTTTTAAATTAATTGCTTCCCTCATTATTGCTTTCATTGTATGGTGGTTGTTTTTTTCAGTGAAACACAAAAAGAACAAAGTTAGCTAATTTCCGAACAATGGCAGTCCATTTTGAATGTTTGTCAAGCTCCAAAATGTCAAAAAAGCACTGCTTTTGTGTTGTTCACTATATTGAGAGTTTAATCTATAGACTCTATTTTTTTTGTTTATTTTTTTTTTTCAGAGTATAAAACTGAAGACATTTTTGACATTTCAATGTTCCGTCACTAAAGGGCAATGATCCCTGTGAACCCATGAACCAATGTCTATACATGATTTTAACCTGTTCTCACATCAATTATATACTGTACATTTTTAATGACAGATTTGTATAATAAAGAGGAAAAGTTTTAGTCTCTTATTGGCTTGATTAATTTTGCTCTCCATGAATAAAGCTCTACAATCAATTCAAATATCACACTTTATATTGCCTATCCAGTTGACACATGGCGATCACTGTGACACAATTCTCATATGTGATACTCACAGAGTAATATATGAACTCATTGTGAACTCAATATGTTGAGAGGGAGACAGCAGTTAAAATATTGGAAAATTTTTAAACGTATATTAAACAATAACAAAAAAAGTCTTTTAGACACACAGACATCAATTATCAGCGTATAAATCTCAACAATGATGACAATCAAAAGCTTCATGCTGCAATGGATGCTGGGTGTCTACAAGGATTTAAAATGCCTGTTATTGTAACTTAGGTTACAGCAGACATTATTTTCTCATTGTTCCTTTATTTACACATCTTTTGAATCTTGTTTCACAGTTTGTCCAAAAAATGATCTCAGAGAGCTTTGCCGATCACATCAGGAGTCAGATCAATGATGACACCGCCAAAAAAGAAAGCATTGACCTTGACAGCGCTGCACATGATGACTATGGCACATCTCATCTGTCCGTCATCGCAGAAGATGGGAGTGCAGTGGCAGTCACCAGCAGTATCAATGAACAGTAAGAGAAAATGAAAAAATAAAGAGATTATGTTTACACACCAGTTTACAAAAGTGGCCACCATAGACATTGAAGTGCACATGTCCCCCTAATAATTACTACAATCAGACCTAGAACTTCTTTTAGCAATTTTATTCCTTGATTTATTTCCTTAAAACTCATTTTAATCTATTTTAATAAATTGATTAATTACACAAGTTAAAAACAATTCATTAAACATAACAAAAAAAAAAAAACATATACATGAATGGATCATTAGATTAGATAATAGATTATAAAAGTATAACATTTTAATTTAATGCTGACTTTAAACACTGCTTACAAGATGTACACAACCGAATAATAAAATATCAGATTTACTCAACAAAATAGTTACGAATTTATCACTCCTTTTCTTAGAAGACTATTAATTATTAATATTCAAGAATCGAAAAATTCTTCTAATTTTGAAAACAAGATGCTAATGTACTTTTGGTGTTTGTTTTTATGAAGCTATATTGTTTTGCTTTTTTTCATTCTTGTTGTCTTTATTTTTTCTGTGTTTTCAGTTTTGGCTCTAACGTGATGTCGCACTCAACTGGCATCATTTTTAATGACCAGATGCGGGATTTCGATTATACTGTCTTGGGAAAAAGATTGAACAAAAATAACCTAATTAAAGCAGGTAAAACCTTGCATGCCTTTATTTATTTATGGTATAATTTAAGTTATGGTATTTAATTTAACTCTTTCCCCGCCTAAAAATGGTGCAAGTCAGCACCAGCATTTTTTATCAGAGGTTTAGATGTTGATGTTTTATTGAAATTAATAATTTGGTTTGATGTGACCATTATGGTGTTCAATGTTTGCTTTAGTTGAGCATTTTGACTCATGTCGGTTTAGAGCAAGATTTTTTTACTGGCTACTGTAAATGTTTGATGAGAGTAGATTTTTTATATTAAATTCTACAGATATTCCAGACAAAACAATGCTGGATCTCATACTGTAAAATCACAGGATCGTTATTATGGTGTAAAATTAAAACCAGAGATGAGATTCTGGAAGAGTTCAGAACTACATTATGATAATATTTTAACTATTAACAAACAGCCAACATACTTGATCATATTTTCTCTTGATGTTCTCACCATGACAAACACTTAAAGCACTCAAAGAAAACATTAAATAGTTTAATCCAAAGAACCCAACTAAAGCGAAAACTGACCTCCACAATGGTCACCAAACCAAACTATTACTTTCACACAAACTCTTTTACGAGGTTCAATCCTGTGTCTGCTGGGAAACTTCCCACTAAAACTTTATAATGTTAGGGGATAAAGTTCTATCTATGTTATCACTAAACACGTTTAAAATGTTGTTAGAGAGTGTTATCCTACCTTTTAGGAGAACATTGTGGTTACAAAACTAAAATTAGCTACAGAAAACATTACAAGAACAGAAGATAATGCTCTCAGACAAAATTCATAGAAAAATAGCTCATATTGTGGCCATAGTTTGAGCTGTGAGGTTACAGTGACTACGTTTACATGCAGCCAATTTTCGGGTTATGATCGGGTTAAGGTCACTATTCTGGTTTCTGAAACATTATGAATAACGTGCGGTTAGCGTCTGGACCATAGACTGTGGTCTGGACGTACAGACAACCTTAAAATCCGGGATATGAGCATATTCAGGTTTTTGCCTGCTTTTACATGGCCGTGCGCGACCGGGTTATTGCTAATATCCCGGTTTTGAACGGGTTATTGGCTGCATGTAAACATAGTCAGTGTTGGATCACTGTGAACTCAGATTGTGGTCATGCTCATCACTGTGAGATCAACGTGTTCACTAAGTTTACTATCACGTCATAAAATAGCGTCTTTAACGTTTTTTCTCTGTCACTTATTTACACACAATCATCTTGTCAAAGATAAAGTCCTCTACATTTAATTCAATTCTACTGTTGTTTTTGTTGTTTTCGAAACTCTTTAAACTCGTGTTTGTAGGTCTGAACTGGATCCTCGTCCAAAGCGAAATGGGTTGTGGGCAATATTAGCTGTTATAGTGAGCACAGATCCACACTTCGAAAATCCACCGATTTCAGAAGATCCGTAGCAGTGCCACCTACAGTATAGCAGTTTAAACACAGAATTGCCAGAAAGACTCATCAATGATGAGGAAACGTTGTGTCTTAAATTACGGGAAATCTCGTCAATGGAGGGGAAAGAGTTAATTGCTAGTAACACCAACTAAATATAATACAGGTGAAACAAAAAAAAAAGGAATATCGTTCAAAAGTTTTAATTTTGATGATTATGGCTCACAACTTATGAAAACCCCAAATTCAAAATCTCAGAAAATTAGAAAATTACATGAAATCAATAAAAAAGGATTTTAAATACTGAAATGTCAGCTGTTTGAAAAGTATAATCATGCATATGTATATAGTTATATATACTAAATATGTTAGTTTCACCTTTTAATTTGAATTACTGAAATACAGTAACTTTTGCACGATATTGTTTCTAGTTTACCTGTATATTACTAAATATAAATGTTCACATTTAAAATGTATCAAAGCTGACTATGTTCTAATAAAACATATTTCTTGTTTTTGACAAGGTAAAAGGCCACTTTCATCAAAGTGTCCCACAATAATATTGCACAAAGACAGCAGAGAGGTCAGAATGGTGGTTGGAGCTTCAGGTGGGCCAAATATCACCTCAGCAACTGCTCAGGTAACAACTCACTAATTTTCTCAACAGATTTTCACCAGGTCAAGGCTCAACTTTCCATAACAGATCTACAGCACATAACAATAGAATATAGACATAATTTAGGTTATGTACTTAATTTATTTTTTTGATTTTAAATGTGATTTTAAAAAGTTTTTGTTTTCTGTTTAAATGCTCTATTAAATACCATTTCCTCTCTCCTTTCTCTCTCTCATCTCAGGTGATCCTGGACTACCTGTTTTTTGACTATGACTTGCAGAAAGCTGTTAATGAACCCAGAGTTCACAATCAGTTAAGCCCCAGTGAGACATTTGTAGAAGAAAACATTGATGAGGTGAGATTTTTACATTTGGCAACAAAGGTTTAGTAAAATAATCTAAATAACCAGAAATAACCAGAAGGCAATAATTATTCAAACGGTCTCTGTGGTGTGTTTGTGAATTCAGAGTATCATTGGTGGATTGAAGCTGAAGAATCACATCATAATTAAGGCGCCCTCATTAGGAAAGGTCCAGGCAGTCGTACGGCAGGGGAACAGAATCTGTGCTGAATCCGACCGCAGGAAAGGCGGCCGTCCTGCTGGATACTGAGCACTGCAGACTTGTACTTTCTGGATCATATGTGCCAGTCATGCAATCTCGGTTAGAAAACTTGGGATGAGCACTTTAGGAAAAATTCTTTGTGAATCTTCTAAATCTTTGCACATCATTTGTTTTAAATGTTTGTTGATTTGATTTCAGAAATGATTTCAGTAAACTCAAAATTATTCAAAATTTCATTGGGTTCCCACTGAACCAGTGTCTTTATAGGATTTTTACTTGATCTTGGATCAGGGTCCCACTTTATATTAAGTGGCTTTAAGTACTATATACTTACATTGAAATTAATAATTTGATACAGTGGACTTATTGTGTACATACATGTTTTTACATTGTACTTATATTTGAAAAATACCAGCATGTAATTACAGCTATAATTACTTTATGTAATTACATTTGTAATTACACAGTTGACCCTTCCCTCACACCTTAACCTACCCTTAAACCGACCCATACCACCACACCTGTCCCTACCCTTACCCGTATCACACCTCAATAGCAGCAAAAGTGTTTTACAATACAACAGGAACACAATAATACATTGTACTTATTGTTCAATGTACAAAGTAAGTACATAGTACGTAAAGCCACTTAATATAAAGTGGGACCTGGATCAGTTTTAAAAATTTGTAGACATTTAATGTCACATTTATAGAATAAAATGGAAGAGTTCTAGTTAATTGTCTCCTATTAGCCTACACTGTAAAAAATTAAATCTTAAAAAGATGGTCAATGACTGTCAGCTACGGGTGCCAAACAAAAAAACGTAAAAGTAAAGTAAAATATCCTAATTTAAATTATGTGCAAAAAGCAAAATTTATTCCTTAAATGTTTTACAGAAAAACACTGTTATTTTGCAGCTATTTACTTAATTAATATGATCAAACACCTTCACTGTTAAAAAAACAAACAAAAAAACATAAAAACAGTGACTGTCAGCAATGACTGCCATACAAAAACAATAAAATGACTGTAAAATATCCTAATTTAAATAAGTGCAAAAGACTGTCTAGTATAAAAGAAATCTTCATTAAACTTTTTAACAGAAACACATTTATTTTACATATATATTAACTCACCTAAAGGATTATTAGGAACACCATACTAAGGCTATGATTACACGGAAACGATTCTGAAGAGAAAACGCAAAAGTGGCGTTGCGTCATCTTTTTTTATTCTGCGTTTAGACGAGCGTTTTGGGTGGGAAATCCGCGTGCAAATGGAGACGCAAAAGTGTGTGAAATTCAATGTAGTATGCACTTCAGGCGGCTAGGAGTGCATACTACAACAACACCAAGTCCACGCGCCTGCGCACAACCTTCACTGTCAAGCAGACTTTTGCGTTTTTACCGTTTACACGGGAACGTGGCGGTGGAGCGTTTTTAAGATTTCCACTCTGGAGGGTGGTTTCACTTTTTTGCGTTTTTGAGCCTCAAAAACGCCGTCGCCATGTAAACGAAAGGCACATCCGATAAAATATTTTTACGTTTTCACCCGCGAGCGTTCTCGTGTAAACAGGGCCTAATACTGTGTTTGGCCCCCTTTCGCCTTCAGAACTGCCTTAATTCAACATGGCATTGATTTAACAAGGTGCTGAAAGCATTCTTTAGAAATGTTGGCCCATATTGATAGGATAGCATCTTGCAGTTGATGGAGATTTGTGGGATGCACATCTAGGGCACGAATCTCCCGTTCCACCACATCCCAAAGATGCTCTATTGGGTTGAGATCTGGTGACTGTAGGGGCCATTTTAGTCCAGTCAACTCATTGACATGTTCAAGAAACCAATTTGAAATGATTCGAGCTTTGTGACATGGTGCATTATCCTGCTGGAGGTAGCCATCAGAGGATGGGGACATGGTGGCCATAAAGGGATGGACATGGTCAGAAACAATGCTCAGGTAGGCCGTGGCATTTAAACGATGCCCAATTGGCACTAAGGGGCCTAAAGTGTGCCAAGAAAACATCCCCACACCATTACACCACCACCACCAGCCTGCACAGTGGGAACAAGGCATGATGGATCCATGTCCTCATTCTGTTTACGCCAAATTCTGACTCTACCATCTGAATGTTCAACAGAAATCGAGACTCATCAGACCAGGCAACATTTTTCCAGTCTTCAACTGTCCACTTTTGGTGACCTCTTGCAAATTGTCGCCTCTTTTTCCTATTTGTAGTGGAGATGAGTGGTACCCGATGGGGTCTTCTGCTGTTGTAGCCCATCCGCCTCAAGGTTGTGTGTGTTGTGTCTTCACAAATACTTTGCTGCGTACCTCGGCTGTATCAAGTGGTGATTTCAGTCAAGTTGGTCTTCTATCAGCTTGAATCAGTCGGCCCATTCTCCTCTGACTTCTCGCATCAACAAGGCATTTTCGCCCACAGGCCTGCCGCATACTGGATGATTTTCCCTTTTCACACATTCTTTGTAAACCCTAGAAATGGTTGTGTGTGAAAATCCCAGTAACTGAGCAGATTGTGAAATACTCAGACCGGCCCGTCTGACACCAACAACCATGCCACGCTCAAAATTGCTTAAATCATCTTTCTTTCCCATTCTGACATTCAGTTTGGAGTTCAGGAGATTGTCTTGACCAGGACCACACCCCTAAATGCATTGAAGCAACTGCCATGTGATTGGTTGATTAGATAATTGCATTAATTAGAATTTGAACAGGTGTTCCTAATAATCTTTTAGGTGAGTGTATATTATGTATACGTACAGATAATATAACAGTTTATTACATGGCTTGGTAGAATTCCAATGTAGAATGCGGTGTGTTATTTCTTGATAACAGACGCTACATAGTTTAACAGACCGTTGCCATGAAAAACAGCGTTGCCATGGACGCAGTTTAGAGATGGAACAGACTATTTTCTTTAGCGGAAGCAATCCAATCGAATTTAAATCAATATTTTGAGTCAAATTATTCAAATTATGAGTCAAATTTTTTATTTATTTGGTAGGTAGGCTCCTAGTCAGCCTGTCAGGGTGGTATTCACTACAACAATTGCCTAGCTACATTATCCCTTACATTTTAGGAAGTAATTTTTATTAGGTTAAACAGTGATTGGATAACGTTTTAATTTAACATTCTTAATTTAAGGCCCACCCACACCTTTTTGGTGCACATCAAAAATGAACCAAAACACAGCGAATAGCTTCTTGGTGAGCCTACTTTTGAAAGTCAACATTTTGATTATTTTAAGTAAAATGTATTATACAGGTCTAAGTTACTTAGGAATAAATTACAGCGTGCTTCATGATAAAAATTTGACTTTACAGTCCGGAAAAATATAGGAAAATAGACAATTATTTCACAGACCCACTGGCACTTGAGAAGTGCTGGTCTACACTGAAGAAAGCCCTGTCTGGGCTCTTCGCTGGTACGGGTTGTGTCGAGCCATTTGTTAGTTTGGTTCTTTGATGAGAAAAAGATGAAATGTAGTTGCAAAAACGAGATGAGAATCTGCACATCAGCAGCTGGGGACTCTTATTCTGCTGTGCGGAACTGAGAAATATTTGATGACGGCACAGTTTGATCTTCAGCTGCAAATCAGAGGAAAGCAGGGTTTTATTCCCGCCCACATGTATACATCGAATATTCAAGCTGTTAATACATTTTTCTACCTCAGAACGAAAAATCATGCTAAATTCTTGTTTTTCTTTTTCTTGGGGGGAAAAAAACGGAAAAGGATCTGTTTTCTCATTTTTCTACTTTCAATAATAAATTAAAAAAACGACTGAACGGACCGATTACGAAAAAGGTACGTTTTAACCGTTTTGGTATAATTGACAAAGAAAAAGACAGAAACAGACCGTTTTTCCGTTTTTTGAATTTTGACCTGAAACAAAAAACCAACACCCAGATAGCAAACTGACATTGAATCAACGTGGAAATATGACATCGAAACAACATTGATCTGACATTGTTTTGCTCATCGAATTAACGTTGAACCAACGTCAGACGCGTCATTCTTTCAAAACTAACGGAAAATCAACTTGAAATCAACGTGTTGTTTCAACGTTATGAAAGCAAACCAATTTTCGATTTTCATTTAGCTTTGAAGAATGCCGCGTCTGACGTTGGTTCAACGTTAATTCGATGAGCAAAATCAACGTTGTTTCAATGTCATGAGAGACGTCGTTTCCACGTTGATTCAATGTCAGTTTGCTATCTGGGCATTCAGTTTGATTTTTTGTTTTTTTTAATCAAAATAAATAAATAAAAAAATAAAAAAATTCAGCGTAATGTTTTGTATTGTTAATTATAGATTTATTTGGGTGTTTATTATATAATTTTGTGTGTATTTTAAACAATTAGGCTGTAAAACAAATCAATCTGGCAACACCTTTCTTCATCTGAACATTAATAATGTTGGATAATAGTTTTGGGCTAATGTGACGAAGGTACGTTTTAACCGTTTGATATTTTGGTATAATTGACAAAGGAAAAAGACAGAAACAGACCATTTTTCCGTTTTGTTTTTTTTAAATTTTGACCTGAAACGAAAAACCAACATTCAGTTTGATTTTTCGTTTTTTAATCAAAACAAAAACAAACAAAATCAGCACAATGTCTTGTTTTCCATTTTTACTGACAAAACAAATTTATTTCTCAATATTTCCTTTCATTGGTGGGTGGGACTGGATCAACCCCTCGCTTCTGATTGGATAGTGTTCTCCATCAGTTATGTCTGTGCTTCAGGCTACTTTTCAAAATAAAGGTTCTCCCAAATAATTTCCATTACTGCTGTGGAGCTCCCTCTTTGCCTTAAGTGGGCTATATGCACGCATAAGTTCCGCATTTGACGCAAGGATGCTCGTACATTTCCGGTTGTGGAGATTTAAGCGGAGGAGAACCGAGGAAAACGGGATTATGGCAAAGTCTTCAAAATTTACTGTCCTCCCGTCTTTGAAACGAAACGTACATACGTTTAGATGTAATTTTATATATAGTTATGTTTATTTAATATAATTTTAAAAATAAGCATAAACACAACGAGGGATGTCTGTTTTATCTGTTTTTGTGACTAACGTTTCTTTATTATAACCATGGAGTATAAAATTAAATATAAATTCTCGGTGTTGCATTGGACTCTACGATCGGCGGAAGTTATCGAGCATCCTTAATCCTTCACCGGAAATACCGCAGTGCATAGAGCCCATTGAGGCGT